TTAATGTTCTATGAAATACATTGTATGGACAAAGGGAAGCAATTCCAAATTCCTATGCAAATTAATTATCCAAAGGTTTAAAATGATATATTCTAGAGGAAACTTGGTACCACTCTTCTGACAAACCTATAAAGATATACTGTACACACAAGAAGAATAACTTCACAGTGGTACACTTTTACATAAAACTTTGATTCATAACAAATTAACAGTAAATCCTTCTGTACAATATGATGGGAACTTCGTCTTTATTTTGTTCTCCATTCCAAAAATAATATATATATCTTTTGCCTTAGCTTTCAGTACTTTCAGTACTTTGATTGACATTTAGTGCTATTTCTCAGGAATAACTTCAGGGATCTTTCTCAAATTTAATATGTAGGTTCCCCTCGATCCCTCTTTGTGCATGTTATATTTTGAGACTGATCATAAAAACAAAATGCACAAAGGAAGAACTTAACAGATCTTTCTCATATTGCAATGATTGATTCTATTTCTTTCACATTAAGTACTGTACTAGTAAATATGTGAAATGGCAAACTCACTTTGAAGGTTGTCTTTTATACACAGCAGTATTAAGTTTTGATCAAATGTTACCTCAAGGTGCATTTACTGTTAACATAACTTGATCAAACAGATTAGAGGAAAGAAGACAAAAGACCAAACTGACAAAGAACTATTGAAGATGGTACAATGGTGGGATCTCGTTTGTTCAGCCTGCAACCTTCACTATAGGTTAAGGTGATATTTCTCAAATACGTTTAATTAGATTTGACCCCATTGACCTCAAAGATCTGGTGAGGTCTCTTAATTTCAGAAGTTTGTGACACACCATGCCAGTAAGCTGCAGACAATGCTCATCATTATTTTATATCTTTGGGTTTAGGAGAATCTCTCCGAGTGTTTTAACACATTTTGCACCCGTGACCTTGAATAAAGGACAGTCATTTATTTTGGAGGTTTGCAGGATCCAATGCCAAGAAGTTACTGTTTTAATCGCTCGGGCACTGACTTCTTTGTAATTGAGAATTTCTCAATGTTGGCGGTTGCTTGATATGAATTGAGAAGAGAATCATCCAAGTTGAAATAGCCATCTCTTTGTGTATGTACATGTTTATCCTGCAAGAAGCCCAAGCCTGGTAATAGTCCCATAATAATCTACTCTAGTTCAATTGACATGCCGACCATGTTATTTGTTGTCCTGAAGCCCGTCTCCCCTACTAGGAGTCGGAGATTATGTATCGACCTGTTTGGTTTATTGCAGGATAAATATAGTAAGAAACAATCATATTCAGTTCAAAGACAAAATAACATCAAAACAGTCAAAAGACCAGCAATACTGATATTAACATTTTATTCATGGAATACATCCAAGCTTTAATACAGCGTGGTACAGCTTTGTTGCCAGTATTGTATGCAGCACAATAATGACACAAACTGTTGAGAAAACGTAATACCACAACAACAACAACACTATCTACAGTCAAACCAAGACGATCACCACTGTCACCTGTCAAGCCTATCAGGCATCCCAACACGAGTCTTGCACGGGCTGACGGCACCTAATAGCAAATATGTCCAAAGTGAATAAACTTAAAACAAAGTTGAAACATCTGTGGTTTAGAGTGATCAGAATGTGGCTTACGTAAGCCTCGTGCACAACATAACAAAAATGGCACCTTGTATACATCATGCACAGGTTAGTTTTCTATACCTTCTTTCCTTTCATGGTACTTTTTAGCATGGTCATGTAGTAAATATCTCACTTAGTTGACATTCTGTTGAGAATCTGTGATAATTTGGACTAGAATACTACTACAACGCTACCAGGCAAAGATTTGTTCATCGACACAAACTTGACATAAACTGCAATGCCTCATTGGTTTAGAAACTGACGGGAAGTTGTTAATATTCAACAGTAAGGCTGAGACATACGATGATATCAATGAGACAAAATAAATATCTGGTACAAATGAACTGAACTTTGTGCCATCTGCTTCGTTTAAGATACGACAAATATGTATGAAGCTGCTATACACTATAATGTGCACGTGTATACAGTTACATCAAAACAATGGTGTCACCATCTTGGTTTGACTCGCTCAAATAACAATAACAGCAGGGGAAAGTGAAGATCATAAGGAGAATATTCTTAAAGTTAATGATTATATTGAAACAGAAAATGGTCTGCAGATACTGAAATTTGGTATGAAAGCCAAACAATGGGTTGAAAGCAAACCCTCCATCATACCAACACGGCATTGACAGGTATATATATACACTAATAATTCTAAAGAAAAATAATTCAAAAGTCGAACGTGTAAGTAAATATTTAAATCCAAATCATCTTTGTGATGAGCTTTCAAATAAATTACAAGCCAATATGGCTTGATTAAATTTAAAACTTAAGGGAACAGCCACTGATAAGTGAAGTCTGTATCCTTTGAGCTTACAGAGGTCTTGTGTTACACTTAAATCATATTCTGTATAGTTCTAGATTTTCACAGGTATTAAAGTTAAGATTTTGAAATATTAAAATTTTCTTACACAGTGTCTTCTGTGAATATTGTATGCTTTATAGCCATACTTCAAATAGCTGTATGTGCTGCACAAAGACGTAATCTGGACGTAATCTGGAAAATATATTTTGTGATTTAAATGCATAAGTGAAACTAAAACCGTTTCAAAATCAAGCAACTTTACCATACACAGTGAAAGATATATACAATTATACAGATAAAAACTAGAACGTTCTCCACTATCATCCTCATGTCTAAACATTCAAACTATCAATGATTATATATGAAGACAACACCAAGAGAAAAGAGAGACTGTTAAACAACGAACTTCTATTTTGAGCTAAAACACTAGTAAAATAGACCGACCTATCACTGTCAAGTTTTACTGCACAAGTAGGATGGCTAATCATACCAAAGTTGTTAAACATTTGCTCGTTTCCAGACATACACAGGTCTACACAGAAATGTTGGACCAAACACTGCAGATGTATTACAGCCTACCACACTGCAGATGTAGTACAGCCTACCACACTGCAGATGGAGTACAGCCTACCACACATAGTTTCTGCCTACCACACTGCAGATGTAATACAGCCTCCCACACTACAGATGTAGTACAACCTACCCCAATACAGATGTAGTACAGCCTACACACGTCAGATGTAGGACAGCCACCACACTACAGATGAAGTACAGCCTACCACACTAAAGATGTAGTACAGCCTAACACACTACAGATGTAGTACAGACTACCACACATAGGTACTGCCTACCACACTGCAGCTGTAGTACAGCCTACCACACATAGTTTCTGCCTACCACACTGCAGATGTAATACAGCCTCCCACACTACAGATGTAGTACCGCCTACCACACTGCAGATGTATTACAGCCTACCGCACTGCAGATGTAGTACAGCCTCCCACACTACAGATGTAGTACCGCCTACCACACTGCAGATGTAGTGCAGCCTGCCACACTACAGATGTAGTCGAGCCTACCACCCTGCAGATGTAGTACAGCCTATCACTCTACAGATGTAGTACAGCCTAACACACTACAGATGTAGTACAGCCTACCACACTGCAGATGTAGTGCAGCCTACCACACTACAGATGTAGTACAGCCTACCACACGTCAGATGTAGTACAGCCACCACACTACAGATGTAGTACAGCCTACCACACTACAGATGTAGTACAGCCTACCACACATAGGTACAGCCTACCACACAGCTACACAGCCTAAACATCCAACACCAAACAAGTGTGTGTGTGCCCTTGACCTGCCTGTCGCAATACAAACTCAAAAAGTCGGACCAGCCATTAAATTTCCTGTACAACTTTTCAAAAAATCATTGTTTGCTTTTGATTTTGTTCTCTTAATACCATTCCCTTTAGAGTGCTACAGTACGTCTGGTTGCAACAAAACAACTGTCTTCAAACTTTCTTATGAACAGTCTAAAAATCAACAATCTCCATTCACCAAGAATCAGCTATATGTCAAGGTTATAAAATTACACAAAAAATTGTCCCTCCGAGTAAAATATTAGTGATTGATCTATGAGCAGCAGATCAGGCTCTAACACAGGTTAATTCTGGCTGGGAAATTTATCGACAAGTCATTCAAAATATCTAATTGACATCAGTCCAGATAATATCCAACATTTGTTCCATGCTTTTTTAGTATAATACTGAATAAACCAAAATAAAATAAACGTTAATCTGTCGGAAGAAAAAAATCTTGATTCCTTTTTGACAATTTCTCTAGACAAAAGAAAAAAATTATGGGATGCTAGTTATAAGAAACAGCCCAAGAAAGTCATAATATATTTACAAGTGGTACAGTGTACAAGGTAAAACCCCACACAAGGAGGTCTGGCTAGCTAGTAGTGACTTGTTCCAAAACCATTACTTCACCCCAAAACTTTACAAGGTCATTATCCACCAGACTTCTGCATGTGAAAACTAGAGATTTAACCATTTTCCTTACTTCAACCAATTACAAAAGTTACTGGATGTCTTAAAGCTGATTTTTTTCCTTGTGAATACTTAGATTGAAATCATCATTTTTGAAAATATTAGGATATAACAAAGAGGATGGAAAATGTCTATAGGAAAAATAGAAATCTGTGTCAAGATAAATCATTGTTCATTCTCAGACTGTTGTGGGTCATCCACCATAAATCTCCAAAGTCAAGCTTGATTATAAGAACAAATCTAATTGTAACCAGAACTCCTTATCAAGTTAATGACAATATTCAATGAACAAAATATGTCTCTGCTTAATAACTTATGCTCTGTTTTACAGTGACAAATATTTTTCAAAAATTAATTATGTCTGTGTATTTTTGTTATCTATGACCTGGGTATTCCGTCTTTGCGTATTGCAGAGTTATCTTCTCTTGAGAGCAGGTATTGATTGTTACGCCATTTGTTTGTGAAAGTACCGTCATCAATTTTTGAAAAAACGACGTAATTTTCTCGCACGAACCAATGACGTAACAATCAATACCTGCTCTCAAGAGAAGATAACTCTGCAATACGCAAAGACGAAATAACCTTTTATGAAGTTTGTTCCAATCTGAAGACCTGTATGTTATATATGTATAAAATGTTCATAAAATACAAAATGATTAATCTTGACTATGATACCAATTATTAACGACTATGTTGTCTTCACATGTAGTCAAACAAAAAAATCACCTCGTCCAGCTTCCTCCTCGATCTTGCCAACACATCAATTTATATAACTACAAAATTGTACAATAACCCTCACCTCCCTAAATGGCATGTTGGACTTTCCCGAATGTAGGTTTTACATTCAATTTGGAAACGCCAAAGAGGGGTGTCAGGAATAAAAGCAAAAACAGACATTGTGCCATGAAATTTCAAATCATTTTAACAATAAAATGTAAATTTCCTTGATCTATAAAACCTTTCAGAAGGTCAAAAATGAATTCTAAACAAAACATATTCTGAACAAACGTTTTTTTTTTTTTATATTTCATTGATATGTTATTAATACCAAAAATATCCATTTTTTACCGTTAGATCATCCCAATTTATTTAAACAAACATTTCAAACTTCACACATCATTCCATTCTAAAAATAAACACATGCCAAGCATCCCAGCCTTGAGATGTAGATTTTAAGAAATAGAAAGCATAGCAAGTGGAAAATCCAAAACGTTACAATGTCTCTTGAATACAGTCAGTATGTAAAACGTCTGTTTTTGCTCATCTTTTATGATGACAAGCCTTCAAGTTGAATGGCTGACGAGGACTTGTGGTAATGTGTCTTCTACATAGGGGGAACCCTCCCTGTATGGGTGCTCCCTAGGTTTGTTGAGTTAGCTAGTTCTCCTGGTTCTTTCTTTATCTTTGCGCTAAATGGAAAGAAGAATGGTTTTAATAAATCTGCATTGAAATTTACAGAATCTTTCTTCTACAATATTTTAATAATTGGATTAGACATTTTTATATCATCTTAATTTCATAGGAATAAATGTGACTTTTTGTTTTACTCCATCCAGCAAGCTATATAGGATAAATAAAGTTCAGTTCCTTGCCTCAACAAGCTACAGTCCAAATATCATCACACATTTAATCTACAACAGAGTAATTTATTTGAAGAAACTTGATAGCCCTCAAGCGTTATCTAAATACCATAAAATAAGGCCTTACTAATCTTACGAAGCTTTGTACATGCACCAGTTCGATGAAAGCTCACAGTCGGTACTTTACTACGTGTAAGCTTAGTAACCTGATTCTGTGGGAGATATCGATTTACTCTAATAAACACAAAGTAGGGTACTACAGGCCAATTGGACCTTGCTGGTGTCGGCAACTCCAATCTTTTATAACTTGATTTTTGATCGAAGTTGTACTGAACACGTACCCATCCCCACCAGCTGTCATGTCGTCCTTGCCAATGTTAGCCAGGAAGGCGAGGGCCTCAAGAGAGGCTGTGTCACGAGCTGCCTCAGGGGAGGGGCCACTGCCGTGGAAGATACGGGGTGGGTTGGTCATCAGTGTCACCCTGCTCAGCACCTCCGTGTTGTTAGTCTGCAACAGAAACAGGTTGTTTTTACTATACATGTTGGTCTGATAACAGAAATAGGCTGCTTTTACTATAAACCACTGAGTAATATTTCATTGTACATATTCAAAACAATTCAACATTATCATTATGTCATGTAATTGATGTTTAGATTCAGAGAAAATATCAACGTTATAATATTTTGTGGTTGATCGATATGTAAGAAAAATGTTTAAGGTAGAGTCCCAGCCTTCTGTGCTGTTTCACAAATTAACAAGTACTANGGATCACAATGGCATAAAACACCTTCATACTAAATTTGAGTGAAATTGAACAATATCTGAATTTCGACCAATCTGAAGCCTCCGTGTTGTTGGTATACCAATTTTCATAAAAATCAAACAATATATAAATTTCGACCAATCAGAAGTGAAGCCTCAGTGTGGTTGCTATATAGTTACTATGTCAATGAAACCTATGCGGTTTAATGTGCAGTCCCCTTATACCACTATATACCATTTTTTTATCAAAATCAAACAATATCTACCCCATAGTGGCAAATATGCATTAGACAAGAGGCCCAATGGGCCTGCATCGCTCACCTGTTATTAATCTAACACTTGTAATCTTAAGATTTCATAAGAACCTATTAAAAGATTTAAACATATGACGCCTCTGACCTTGATTGTTGAACAAGAACATTAGGTTGAAAGTGGATCAAGGTCATTCATTTGAACTAACATGGTAGTCCTTCATCCCAGCATGCTACAGGCCCAATTTCAGTACCCTGGTCCGTTTGCTTATTGAAAAGAAGTTGCTTGAAGATTTTATGACATTTGACCCTGTGACTTTGAAAGTTGGTCAAGGTCATTCATTTGAACAAACTTGCTAGCCCTTCATCCCAGCATGCTACAGGCCCAATATCAGTACCCTGGGCCTTTTGGTTATTCAGAACAAGTTGTTTGAAGATTTTAAAGACATCTGACCCCAATGACCTTGAAAGTTGGTCAAGGTCATTCATTTGAACAAACTTGGTAGCCCTTCATCCCAGCATGCTACAGGCCCAATATCAGTACACTGGGCCTTTTGGTTATTGAGAAGAAATTGTTTGAAGATTTAGACATCTGACCCCAATGACCTTGAAAGTGGATCAAGGTCATTCATTGAACAAACTTGGTAGCCCTTCATCCCAGTATGCTACAGGCCCAATATCAGTACCCTGGGCCTTTTGGTTATTGAGAAGAAGTTGTTTGAAGATTTTAACATATTTCAACCCCTGTGACCTTGAAAGTTGGTCAAGGTCATTTATTTGAACAAACTTGGTAGCCCTTCATCCCAGTATGCTACAGGCCCAATATCAGTACCCTGGGCCCTTTGGTTATTGAGAAAAAGTTGTTTGAGGATTTTTAAGACATCTGACCCCAGTGACCTTGAAAGTGGGTCAAGGTCATTCATTAGAACAAACTTGCTAGCCCTTCATCCCAGCATGCTACAGGCCTAATATCAGTACCCTGGGCCTTTTGGTTATTGAGAAGAAGTTGTTTGAAGATTTTAAAGACATCTGACCCCAATGACCTTGAAAGTTGGTCAAGGTCATTCATTTGAACAAACTTGGAAGCCCTTGATCCCAGCATGCTACTGGCCAAATATCATCTTCCTAGGCCTTTTGGTTATTGAGAAGAAGTTGTTTAAAGCAAAAAGTTGACGCCGGACGGACGCCGGACGCCGGACGGACCCCGCACCATAACATAAGCTCACTTGCCCTTTGGGCATGTGAGCTAAAAATGATGGCAATGCCTTTATACACCTACAAACTAAATTTGAGTGAAATCGAACAATTTCTAAATTGCAATCAATTAGAAGCCTCTGTGTGGTTACTATGGCAACGAAAGTATGCAATTGAATGTGCAGTCCTTCAATACCCCTATATATTGATTGTCATCAAAATCGAACACTATCTAAATTTCGACCAATCAGAAGCCTCCGTGTGGTTGATATGGCAACATAACCTATGCAATTGAATTCGCAGTCCCCTAATACCCATGTAAACCAATTTTCACAAAAATCAAACAATATCTAAATTTCGACCAATCAGAAGCAAGTAAATGGTTGCCATTTTGTCAAATTTGAAAACGAATGTCCCAGTTCAGTTTGCAATGCCATATTACACATACATACTTAATTTGAACGAAATCGAACAATAACGTTGTTTCGACCAATCAGTTACCAGTATATGGCAGTAATTTTGTCTAATAAGAAAACGGATGTCATGATTGAGATCGCGGTACCATCGTACACCTACATGCCAAATTTGGAATGCATTGGAAAATATCTATAAAACATGTAAAATAGGATAGGTGACATTGGCTATCTTTAGCGAACACCTATAGAAATTTTAAATTTGTGGTGGCCATTTTGTTGACAATTTCATTTTTTTTTTATTCGACTTTAGAGCACATCCTAAATCAATACTTTCCTCAAAATTTTATTTTGATGCGCCAAATATAACAAAAGTTATGGCTCAAAATGTTTTAGCCAATCAGAGACTTTGGCAGCCATCTTTGATATTAATCGGAAAAACAAAAAGGTGTTTGCACATCTAGAGGCTATCAGTAATAATCCCTCAAAGTTTGGTGAAGATCTGACTTATAGTTTCTGAGAAAAGTGTTGGAAACCTTTATGGCAGAAAAGAGAAAGAAGAAGAAAGAAGAACATGATAATAGGAATCGGAGTAAAAACAATAAGTCCCCAAACAAGGATCCAATAGCCTTTAAGTGACTATAGGGGCAATAACACAAATGTAACAGAGAAACAACCTGCAAGAGAAATAGTGGACCTTTATATCATTAAGTATTATTAAAAGTAAATCAATCTGGATTGCTGTACTTCAATCGTGAATAATTATAGTTATCTACAATAGAACATAATATATATCACACTTTAACTTGACAGATGTAAAAATATATACAACACTGTACAAAATTAACTATTCTAATGGCTCGTGTATTTGTAGTGGTAATAGGAAACAAATGTCACTTACAGTGCCAGCAAATTCATCAAATTTGATGTCCACGTCATATCTGGAGGCAATCTCTCCGAGACGCAGGCGTGGACTTGGTCCGAACCCAAGGCTGTCCCCCATTCCTGACAGAGCTACAACACAACAAATTCAAACATTCCAAAACGAAAGTCAAACATTAATATGCAGGGCAACAGTAAGAATAAAAAAGAAAATGTCTATAAAACTTACATATGCCCCGACTTTGATGAAAATAAAGCTGAACACAAAGTCTAACAGTCAGTGAAGCAGAAAATACAGGTCACAATGACCTAATGTTAAAATGTAATGTTGTAATCCTGATGTACCTGTATATTTCATTGACCTTACAATCAACACCATTAACTTCCCTATGCTGGGTTATACAGCGATCCCCCTGTTTATTTGTTGACCTTATAATCATCACCATAAATTTCACTACTAACCTGGGTTATACAGCGAGCCCCCTGTTTATTTGTTGACCTTATAATCATCACCATTAACTTCACTACTAACCTGGGTTATACAGCCAGCTCCCTGTATATTTCATTGACCTTTTAATCAACACCATTATCTTCACTACTAACCTGGGTCATACAGCTAACCCCCTGTTTATTTGTTGACCTTACAATCATCACCATAACCTCACTACTAACCTGGGTTATACAGCGAGCTTCCTGTATATTTCGTTGACCTTATAATCATCACCATTAACTTCACTACTAACCTGGGTTATACAGCGAGCCCCCTGTATATTTGGTGACCTTACAATCATCATCATTAACTTCACTATGCTGGGTTATACAGCGAGCCCCCTGTATATTTGGTGACCTTACAATCATCACCATAACCTCACTACTAACCTGGGTTATACAGCGCGCCCCCTGTATATTTGGTGACATTACAATCTACACCATTACCTTCACTACTAACCTGGGTTATACAGCAAGCCCCCTGTATATTTGGTGACCTTATAATCAACACCATTAACTTCACTACTAACCTGGGTTATACAGCGAGCCCCCTGTATATTTGGTGACCTTACAATCAACACCATTAACTTCACTATTAACCTGGGTTATACAGCGCGCCCCCTGTATATTTGGTGACATTACAATCTACACCATTAACTTCACTACTAACCTGGGTTATATAGCGAGCCCCCTGTATATTTGTTAACCTTACAATCTACACCATTAACTTCACTACTAACCTGGGTTATACAGCGAGCCCCCTGTATATTTGGTGACCATACAATCAACACCATTAACTTCACTACTAACCTGGGTTATACAGCGAGCTCCCTGTATACTTGGAGTCTGGTAAGAGGAGGAGTCCAGGAACAAGTTGTCGACCGACAGAAGCCTTACCATTCATGTCACCCACTGAAATAGAAATTTTCATTACATGCTGTCATGATCTTGTATCACAAACATGAAAATTATTTTACAACAGAAAAAGATTGGTAACACTGCAGTAACTGACGTTAACATTTAGTGCAGAAAACATATCTAAAGCTTACTTTTCTCATTCTTATATTTTGTGGAACGTCACAAAAGTCGTAACTAAATGGGTCAATTATTATTGAGCATATACTTAAAGATTGACCTTTGTTTTGACAGTGTTATATGGCATAATGTAATACAGTAAGCAACAAACATATTCTTGAAAAGTGTTAGCTAGGACTATATAAAGAATACATGTGTTGCAAAATGCATTCATACTACCATATATGCCATCAAAATTTAAGGTCAATTCTTACATTTACATCAAATGATAAACAGTCAGAGAAGAGTGCTACTACAGTAGATGTGGTTGCTAGGATACACAAAGGATATACATTCAGAGAAGAGTACTAATACAGTAGATGTGGTTGCTAGGTTACAAAAAGGATATACATTCAGAGAAGAGTGCTACTACAGTAGATGTGGTGGCTAGGATACACAAAGGATAAACAGTCAGAGAAGAGCGCTACTACAGTAGATGTGGTTGCTAGGATACACAAAGGATAAACAGTTGGAGAAGAGTAGTGCTAAAGTAGATGTGGTTGCTAGGATACGCAAAGGAAATACATTCAGAGAAGAATACTACTACAGTAGATGTGGTTGCTAGGATACATGAAAGACAATCAGTCGGAGAAAAGTTCTTCTACAGTAGATGTGGTTGCTAGGATACACAAAGGATAAACAGTCAGAGAAGAGCGCTACTACAGTAGATGTGGTTGCTAGGATACACAAAGGATAAATAGTCGGAGAAGAGTACTGCTAAAGTAGATGTGGTTGCTAGGAAACACGAAGGGACAGTCAAAAGAGTGCTACAACAGAAGATGTGGTTGCTAGGAAACACGAAGGATAAACAGTCAAACAAGTGCTTCTACAGTAGATGTGGTTGCTAGGAAACACTAAGGATAAACAGTCGATGAAGAGATTCCTAGATTGGTATAGCGTCACCAACATGTTTGCTTCTGACAGTTGTCTCATGTTATTTGAGGCAGGGGGAGAAGCTTGAAAATGATGCTGATCAAAACGTGTTTATAGCTCTATGAACGTTATTTCTTCTGGTAATGCTTATAGAGGAACTTGAAGGGGAAATGCAGCTAAAATAAAATAGTACATTTGCAAATATCATAAGGAATTGGACAAACAATGTGACACTTCAGATATCAATTTACCTGAATCTTCATTGTTCTCCACAAATGTCACCTTCTTTTCCCCGGACATACCCTACAATGTAGAGAATATCACATAAAAGTACACTCTGACTTTACTTAATTTATCTCACAATTATTCTGCCCCTCATTTTTTTGTTTCTCCTGGAGAACATAAAAAATCTGCTGGAGTTAAACTGTACATGTTTAGGTAAATTTGCATCAGCAAGGCCTTATTTCAGAATGCTTCCTAGTTAAGTTTTCAGCGGTTCTGTTATTCTTGTTTTATGAAAGAGTGTATTTGTCTCAAATTTTTGTTTGCTACAGCTGAAATGTATCCTGTACTGGCCAGGGGATGGTGGCAGTTTTGTGTTGCCTTACCTCAGGGGATGGTGGCAGTTTTGTGTTGCCTTACCTCAGGGGATGGTGGCAGTTTTGTGTTGCCTTACCTCAGGGGATGGTGGCAGTTTTGTGTTGCCTTACCTCAGGGGATGGTGGCAGTTTTGTGTTGCCTTACCTCAGGGGATGGTGGCAGTTTTGTGTTGCCTTACCTCAGGGGATGGTGGCAGTTTTGTGTTGCCTTACCTCAGGGGATGGTGGCAGTTTTGTGTTGCCTTACCTCAGGGGATGGTGGCAGTTTTGTGTTGCCTTACCTCAGGGGATGGTGGCAGTTTTGTGTTGCCTTACCTCAGGGGATGGTGGCAGTTTTGTGTTGCCTTACCTCAGGGGATGGTGGCAGTTTTGTGTTGCCTTACCTCAGGGGATGGTGGCAGTTTTGTGTTGCCTTACCTCTGGGGTGGTGGCAGTTTTGATGGCTGGCTTGGTGGGTTGAGGCGAGGGCTTGTTGTAGCCCAAGAGAGTCAGCATGGCCTCGGCAGCATGTCTTTTGGCAAGTTTTTTGTTCGGACCCACACCTGTACACGTCTGATCGTCAACCTGTACCTGTACATAACAACAAGACGACATGTCATTTTCCTGTAATGCAGTGGGCATTCATATTGCCTATGAACCACATCTGAAAGCAATTTAATGTTTTCATAAATGATGTTTTCAACTGTGCTGAGACAGCACGCATATTCAGTTAGAGATAATAGCAATCTTGGATTGTGTAAATCTGGATTTACAATTAGTTAGCATGGGTTTCTGTCCCGGGACACCTGGTTACTGTGACAAGGTCGGGGCTTTGGTCGCGGCTACAGGTGACCAACACAGTCATTCTGACGGCACCCCTGCACGAGAGCAGACGTACACTATATATAACAGCTAGTAAGCTTCCTGGTGTCCCTGGTCAGCATCCATTATCATGTTATCTGTTCACATGTATCTGTGTATATGTAGTGAGTGAGATGGGGGGAAAGGAATGAATAGGTGTGAGTCTGGAATGAGAGTGCGGAGTGAATGACTATTTGTTATGTAATATTATTACATGTTGTAGGCTTTCCTTCGTTTAAATAAAACCCAAAAATGAAAAGAAGCATTGGAGTTCTTATTACAAAACCCAACAGTGTTTACACTTTAATACAAGAATTCCACGTTAGTGGATGTGTCGCCTGCGCAGGAAGCTGGGAGATTGTGCTTAGCACCGCATGAAGTTTGAGCTTGATCGGCCCAAGGAAACTCAAGTTATCGCAGGAAAACAGATTTTCTATTTATAGTAACAGTGACCTTGACCTTTGGACCTCAAGTTATCGCGCGAAAACCTGTGCCGCCGCCGCCGCCGACATAGCAATACCTATGTGTCACCAGCTTTTCGCAGGCGACACAAAAATCAGTTTGATATAAACAGTATTTATTTCAGTTTTAGAAGAAATTCAAGTTGTCATTTTTCATTAAATATCTTCTATTAATATCAAAGAAAATATGAAATGATTTTTTTCATTGATGTTTTACCTCAATGTGTAACAACATTAACAGCATTTTACATATTAACTTTTGTATAATAAAATCAGGATAAATTACACATATGTCATATATAAATTATTCAATGAACAAAACCCATATCTTTCTTTTAATTTTGAGTTTTGAAATACTAAACATTTACATTGCTGAAAATCTAAATATAAGGAACAAACTATTTTTTCCCCTTTGGTTCTTGGGTTTTTCAAATTCACTGAATGCTTGGTGCCTAAAATACTTATTTAAAAGACAAAAATTAAGGGCCACATCCATGNCCCCCCCCCAATAAATATATATGAATGGTATTATTGAGCATGCTACGATGCTGTGTCTGCCTCAAACATCTGTTGAGAAAATGAAACATATCAGCTTAAAACAAAAATTCTGGGAAAAACCCCTGGTATCTATTTATATATAATTATGTTATGTTCCAATGTATTGTGATATGTCAATATAGCCATGTTGATTTAAGTATCAATCAATATGTTGTGACATTGATAAGCTTACCCACCTTGTTAAGTAAATACTATCTATATATATTACCTGGATGACGAATTCGCGGCGCCTTGGCAGTCCCCTCTCTGTGACAAGAGTGTACACTGGCTCCTTCTTCTGCTGTGCCTGCTGGAAGTGGATGAGGCGACTGATGGGGTTAATTCCCACGCCGTAGTCTGGGTTAGCCTTCTGTACTTGCTGTCAACAACAATTGATCAACAATAAATCACTGCGTAATGAAGGTCAACAAAAGAAAATCTGGTAGCACGTTTAAAATATCAAATTATACAAGTGTTTTTCATGAATCATGAATCATTGAAAAGTGATTGAATAAGAACTATTTGCATCAATTCTTGTTTGAATTTGATTAACAAAGATTAGTTAGCAGAAGCACACAAATAAAGGACATTTAATTATAAAGAAAACACAGTTTTTTTTTTTTATTATGACATCAAAAATCGTATTACAGAGCAAAGAACAACATGCAGATAAAACCTTTGATCTTATTGAATTGAGAACAATAATTAAATTATTTATCTATCTGTAATATTATAAAGCTTTGTGGGTACAGTATGACATTGATGGCCTTGCTACAATGATACAAAACCTTGATTTCCCGTACCCTAGACGGCTGGTGTAGCCACACCGTGTAGGATTTCCCATTCATACAAACTATCAACAATACAGCAAGGGTCAACATTGCATTACATGTATAACAGGGGTCAGTAGGGGAAAAGAAAAACAATTCACCCCCTTGGTAGTGGAATGGGATGATCTCAACTTTAGGGAAAGGTCCACCTTCTCCATCCCTATGAGGGGGGACAACTCTATTACCTGCTGGACGGTGTACTTACACTAACTTTGATGATATTCTTGGACTTTTTCTTGTTGTTTGGTTTATTTCTTGGCTTCATGGCAGACACAGGCAGAGGAGGAAGTTCTCGTAGTTTCTCCAGCATCATCTCAGCAACTTTCTTTTTAGACATCTTTTTACTGTTGCCCTCAGCCTCAGTTTCAAACTCTCCCACAGAACATCGTGTCACAAACGTCTTCATGTGGGGCGGACCAGATTCACGTATAACCTACATACATATCGAAGGTTTAGTTAGTATAGCTTCTGTCAAACTCCCCGTAACCACGTGCCACAAATGTGTTTTTATTGACACAGATAGCAATAGCAGAATACTGAAGATGGATCATGGAAACTGTTAGTATTAAATGTGGTAGATCGATTTCTAATAATTGTCAGAATAAACCTTCACTTTATTTGAATAAATTCTTAATTTTAATACAAGAGATTATTTTTTTTTTTACATTAGCATCAAACTGCTTTCAGTTGGGATGCTAATCTGGAAAATTTACAAAATTTAATGCAAAATTTATCTTGAATTCAATTCTTCGTTTTCCAGAAATCTCACAGACTAGCCCTTCGGGCAGGTGAGCTAAAAATAAAACGTATCCATCATGCTATTCAATTGCTTGTTTAATGATTATATCAACCACCTTCTATAAACTTGTAAATATCAAACACTAAGTAAGGTGTGGTAGGTTACAGAATTATATGTTCTGATACTTGTGTAGTATCAACTTGATGTTTTACCTTTTTGGAATGATTACTACTATTTCTCAATCTGATTAAAATCATCCGTTACATGGCTCCGCCTGAACATCTGAATGTGCCGCGGTCAGGTTCACGTTCAAGTGACCTTTAGATGAACCAATCGGAAACTTTTGCCAGCGAATCGGAATATCATGGTTGATAGATAAATAGCGAGGGGTATCGAACAGATTAGTTTTCCAAAACAAATATGACGATCAATCTCAAATAACTTCAGAACTTTCGCATCATTCGCCCTTTTGAAAGAGGGTCTTTGATTGGTCAAAATTTAATGAGTATTTATAAATATAAAGGTCACCTGAAAGTGACCCTGCCCACGGCACACTCAGAAATTCAGGCGTAGTACGAAGTTAACGAAGCCATGTAACATATGATTTTAATCAGATTGACTATTTCTACACATATTGAGGCAAACTAAAACAATGACTAAATGAACAATCAGGACAATACAAATTTCTGTGTTAAGTTGTTCCTCTTCATTGAACATTTTAAACGATGCTCGAGAAACAACCCCTTATGCCTAGGCCTACCTATTTCTTGACTTTACTTAAAGATGAAACCAACTCACATCAAAGCTGACTTTCAAATTCCGCTTGAGTGCAATCTCGTGGACTAGGCTGATCTCAGACTTCAGTTTGTCTATGTCTATAAAAGAATGAGCAGAGATTGATGCTTACACAAAAAGATGTACAGATAAAGATAAAGACGGTAAAACATGGTTTAGATAGCTAACTATTCCGTGACAAGCGGAAAGTGATTCTGGACTATTACAACTGATAATGGATACCAATTAATTCTGATGTGGTTTTTAGGGGCAAAGTCAAAAGTACTGATCAAAGGCATGCAGGAATCACTCCAAAAATTATAAATTCCAGTTTTTAATAACATCCCTGAGAAAAGTTTGTGTCTGGAGAAAAACAGTGACAATCTGTTTCATATTGTTAATTATCACATTCAGGGTTTTACAGTGCCTGTTTAATCCTCTTACTTAAATTAAAACTTTTACCACAAGGAGATGTTGCTTTTTCGTTGTTTAATCATGATAACCCATGTATCTGTCTGAACAAAAGCCAGTCCTGTTTTGATACCTCGGCTGCCTTTATTCAAAAGTGTCTTTTCTCATGTACTAGTATATCATTAAAACTGTTGGCATTTTACTCAAAAACTACTTCATGTGGTAACCATGGTGAGAATTAAAGACAGTGTCAACACATTATGAGGTGAAAATGTCAACAAGTTTGAAGAGCCTTCCTGTAACAGGGGTAACACTAGTGCCTGTTCGTTTATGCGGAACAAACTGTTTGACCGTCTTAAAATGTAACATTTTCGGGTATAAATCCTGGCGGATCTGCAAATGTGAGTCTTTGTCAAGGCTCACCTGAAAGCAGCATCAGATTACTAGGTCCGACCTTATTTAATAAGCGAAAAACTGTGGTCAAACTGGTTCAACTGTTTAAACGAAAAAGGCCCTGGTAAGAGTAACTATATCGTAATCCCATTGTGGAGTGTACATACCGTCGCCGTCCTCTGTGGGCGTTATCACTGCCTCAGCCTTCTGGTCTTGTTCGCTGGGCACTGGCAACTTACTTAGCATGGCCAGAGCCTTGGTTGCGGCATCATGTCGAGCATCCTGTCGCGTGGGGCCCTCACCGACAAAGTCTCGTGGCCCTACCTTCAGACACACTTGGAACACCCGAGGGGCTCTAGGATAGTGATACCTAAAATCAAACCAGCATCTACTGTACTCAACAGGGCCTAACAGACTATTCATCAAATGACATTAAATCTGTAATAGGCTATATCTAAGTCAGTGAAAACTTAAATCTGTAATAGGCTATAGGAGGACCAGGCTATATCAGAACCAGTTAACATTTTCAATCTGTAATAGGCTATGAGGACCAGGCTTTATCAGAACCAGTTAACATTTTCAATCTATAATAGGCTATATGAGGACCAGGCTATATCAGAACCAGTTAACATTTTCAATCTGTAATAGGCTATGAGGACCAGGCTATATCAGAACTAGTTAACATTTTCAATCTATAATAGGCTATAGGAGGACCAGGCTATATCAGAACCAGTTAACATTTTCAATCTGTAATAGGCTATATGAGGACCAGGCTATATCAGAACCAGTTAACATTTTTAATCTGTAATAGGCTATGAGGACCAGGCTATATCAGAACCAGTTAACATTTTCAATCTATAATAGGCTATAGCAGAATTGTTCAAAAACTACTTTTGGGTTGGAACCAGGAATATGAATTGTACACCCCAGAATGTGATATGATGCTGTATCACTGAGCTCTATACCAGGTTTCAAGTATAGCTATGGTACGTGCCTCCACTGTAGCTGGGAGGGTGTGGGAAAAACATCTTACCTCTGTTGGTACATGCCTCGGTAGTTGTAGTTGGGGGGAGGGTAGTAGTTCTGATGTCTGTTGTCTAGGGGGCGGTACATTGTCTGTTCCCCACGCTTCATAGCTAAGGCATTCAGTTCCACGGTAGGTGTGGTCATATCCACTAGAAATCACACAATATTACTGACAAACTATGCTAAACAAGAGGCCCATGGGCCTGTACGGTGACTCGATTTATGTAAAAACTGATGTTATCAATGTTGCCAAATGAAAAAGAAATAATTTTGTAACAAAGGTAACTTGAACAACATGTAATGCAAAAGTAGAGTGAAAGATCTGGGTAGTATATGTACTATGTACAAATAGTGGTTCTGTCAGTCAGCTGAATTTGGTAAAGCACCTTAAGACCCTTCCATAGATATGAAGAGGATTTGATTCTACCATATCTGGATCTTCAGAAGAAGATTTTTGAAATTTCCGTCAATTTGACCCTTTTTGGCCCCGCCCCTCAGGCCCCTGGGGGCTGGGGACCACATAATTGAAAAAATAAATATGAATTAAGAAAAATTGGATTTCAGACCAGAAATGAATTAATGTGATCCCATTAAATCCTTGAGTCGGACAACCTTTCTTTTGGAGGTTCAGACTAACCTTACAGTCCCTCTATGAGATCACCATATGCAATGAATGTTTCTTACAGTCTGTTTGTGTGACCACAGTGGGAGTTTTAGACAATGTAAGTTACAAAATCCCTCTGTAGGACCATTTTTGGAGACCTCCTCGGCACTGATGGCTACTTACCGTCCCTCTGTAGGACAACCTTTGGGGGCTTGGGTGGTGGGTGTGTGTAGGTGGTATTCTCCAATGCCTCGGCTGCTGCAGCGTGCTGAGCCTTCTTGATACTGGCCCCTGATTGTTTGTACTCCTCCTTGTCCCCGAGCTTCAGCTGGACATAGAAGGTCTTCTTGTGGGCGGGGCCCTGCTCATCTATCAGCGTGTACTGATGTGCTATCTGATAAAGGAGTGAAAAAACAAAAGGAAGAAATATCACAATTTCATGGATTGATGGATTTTGTTATCTATATTACTCAATAACAATGGTGGTGTTGTCCTCAAAATATCTTCCCCCAAAACAGACAATAATTAACTGTTGACAGGCCGTGGTTAGGGTATAATCCCCCAAAACAGACAGAAAATTAACTGTTGACAGGCCGTGGTTAGAGTATAATTCCCCAAAACAGACAGAAAATTAACTGTTGACAGGAAATATCACAATTTCATGGATTGATGGATTTTGTTATCTATATTACTCAATAACAATGTTGGTGTTGTCCTCAAAATATCTTCCCCCAAAACAGACAATAATTAACTGTTGACAGGCCGCGGTTAGGGTATAATCCCCCAAAACAGACAGAAACTTAACTGTTGACAGGCCGTGGTTAGGGTATAATTCCCCAGAACAGACAGAAAATTAACTGTTGACAGGCCGTGGTTAGGGTATAATTCCCCAGAACAGACAGAAAATTAACTGTTGACAGGCCGTGGTTAGAGTATAATTCCCCAAAACAGACAGAAAATTAACTGTTGAGAGGCCGTGGTTAGGGTATAATTCCCCAAAACAGACAGAAAATTAACTGTTGACAGGCCGTTGTTAGGGTATAATTCCCCAAAACAGACAGAAACTTAACTGTTGACAGGCCGTGGTTAGGGTATAATCCCCCAAAACAGACAGAAAATTAACTGTTGACAAGCCGTGATTAGGGTATAATTCCCCCAAACAGACAGAAAATTAACTGTTGACAGGCCGTTGTTAGGGTATAATTCCCCAAAACAGACAGAAAATAAACTGTTGACAGGCCGTGGTTAGTGTATAATTCCCCAAAACAGACAGAAAATTAACTGTTGACAGGAAATATCACAATTTCATGGATTGATGGATTTTGTTATCTATATTACTCAATAACAATGGTGGTGTTGTCCTCAAAATATCTTCCCCCAAAACACACAATAATTAACTGTTGACAGGCCGTGGTTAGGGTATAATTCCCCAAACCAGACAGAAACTTAACTGTTGACAGGCCGTGGTTAGGGTATAATTCCCCAGAACAGACAGAAAATTAACTGTTGACAGGCCGTGGTTAGGGTATAATCCCCCAAAACAGACAGAAAATTAACTGTTGACAAGCCGTGATTAGGGTATAATTCCCCCAAACAGACAGAAAATTAACTGTAGACAGGCCGTGGTAAGGGTATAATTCTCGAAACCAGACAGAAATTAACTGTTGACAGGCCGGGATTAGGGTACAATTCCCCAAAACAGACAAAAATTAACTGTTGACAGGCTGTGGTTAGGGTATAATTCCCCAAAACAGACAGAAAATTAACTGTTGACAGGCCGTGGTTGGGGTATAATTCCCAAAAACAGACAGAAAATTAACTGTAGACAGGCCGTGGTAAAGGTATAATTCCCGAAACCAGACAGAAATTAACTGTTGACAGGCCGTGGTTAGGGTATAATTCCCCCAAACAGACAGAAAATTAACTGTTGACAGGCCGTGGTTGGGGCATAATTCCCAAAAACAGACAGAAAATTAACTGTAGATAGGCCGTGGTAAAGGTATAATTCCCGAAACCAGACAGAAATTAACTGTTGACAGGCCGGGGTTAGGGTATAATTCCCCAAAACAGACAGAAACTTAACTGTTGACAGGCCGTGGTTATGGTATAATTCCCTAAAACAGACAGAAAATTAACTGTAGACAGGCCGTGGTAAAGGTATAATTCCCGAAACCAGACAGAAATTCACTGTTGACAGGCCGGGGTTAGGGTATAATTCCCCAAAATAGACAGAAATTAACTGTTGACAGGCCGTGGGTAGGGTATAATTCCCCAAAACAGACAGAAAATTAAATGTTGACAGGCCGTGGTTAGGGTATAATTCCGCAAAACAGACAGAAAATTAACTGTTGACAGGCCGTGGTTGGGGAATAATTCCCAAAAACAGACAGAAAATTAACTGTAGGCAGGCCGTGGTAAAGGTATAATTCCCGAAACCAGACAGAAATTAACTGTTGACAGGCCGGGGTTAGGGTATAATTCCCCAAACCAGACAGAAATTAACTGTTGACAGGCCGGGGTTAGGGTATAATTCCCCAAAATAGACAGAAATTAACTGTTGACAGGCCGTGGGTAGGGTATAATTCCCCAAAACAGACAGAAAATTAAATGTTGACAGGCCGTGGTTAGGGTATAATTCCGCAAAACAGACAGAAAATTAACTGTTGACAGGCCGTTGTTAGGGTATAATTCCCCAAAACAGACAGAAAATTAAATGTTGACAGGCCGTGGTTAGGGTATAATTCCCCAAAACAGACAGAAAATTAATTGTTGACAAGCCGTGGTAAGGGTATAAAAAGGCTTTGATGTAAACTGTTGGACATTAAGTGAATTTGGTATTAAGTTCTAGAGTATGTTTATTATATACAATAAGGCAAGGGTAGAGCCAACGCCATGGTTTTCTTAATGGTGGAATAATTTGGTCCTTTGCTCCTCGTCTGGATACCCGAAAGTATGCAGGGGATGGAGTAAAAGTGGGAACATCATAAAATAGATTCAATCACAACAGGCGGAGGAGCAATAAGTTATTCTTGTAGTTTATTAGAAGTGTCAATCGGTTTCGCCCCTACAATGGGGTTCTTCAGGAAGTACTCAAAATGTGGGCACATACTATTGATGACGTCACAATACTACCTATTGTTTATGACGTCACAATTTCTGCCATTGTTTATTATATACATATACTCACTGAAATGTTGTTGTTTTTTTAAATTGGTCTGAAGATATTTTGTTAGCATTGATATATTAATTTTTTATTAAAATTGTCAAAGTTGAAAATTAAAAGATGCAAATAATTGATGACGGGAAAGATGAAAAACATTTTCTTTTCAGTTATTTTCTGAACTAGTATTCAGCCGATAATACAAATATAACAAAGCAGGCTGTTTTTTGCTATAAAACAAGTAGAAACATTTCTGTAGTTAATGATACTTTAACAAAATTCAACCCTCTATTTTTGAAAATCGAACAGTTTGCTACACACTTATAGTGAAAACAGTGTGGATGAGAGATCTAGCTAATCGCCAGTTCTAAAATGATTGGGGATTGGTCAATCCCGTCCTACCTTGTTGTAACGAGCTAACTCATTGATCAGACACATTGGGGTTTTCTCTTTTGTGTTTGCCAACATGGTTTCTTGGGTATTGTTCTCGCTCTCTTCTAAAGATTGGATGCTGACAGTAGTCGGCTGCTGGTCACCAGGTGGCGTTGCAATCTGGGAACCAACAGCAACACCTCCAGCCATGTTAATAGGATTAGGAGGGCTCTGATTGGTCAGTGAAGAGGCAGGTGGCTGGTTCTGATTGGTGGCTATTGTACCAGGGATTAAGACCTTCTGTTGTAGACCGCCAACAAGAGATTGCGTTTGTGTATGATAGCTGTTGTTGACGGACATCAGAGGACTTGGCATAGAGTTGTTGTTGTTGTTGTTGTTGGAATTGTTCGGTAAAATACCACTCCCCATCATTCCAGCTTTGTTACCTAAATGTTAAAAGATAAACACTTGTATGCGTTTGTAAGTAAAAGCTCTCCTTTGTAGGGAAGCTATGCTGTGGAAGTGAAAGATATCATTATAATACATAGCATTTCACAAGTGGAGCAGTAACTATCAAAGTGTCTTTATATAAGGACAATATCATAAATACATCTTTGTTATACAATCAGATGGTGTCACATTTAAGCCTGGCTGCTGCTACAGCAAGAATAAGTGTTAATTTCAATTAAGATATAGATTTCTACATGTGTTATTTGTTGGAAAGGTTGGATAAATACAATGTAGAAGAAACAGGCTATATGCATATCAGATGTTTTCTGCCGGCTATATTCCGTCTTTGCGTATTGCAGAGTTATCTTCTCTTGGAAGCAGGTATTGATTGTTACCGCATTGGTTTGTGTAAGAAAATTACGTCGTTTTCTCTAAAATTGATGACGTTACTCTCACAGACAAGTGACGTAACAATCAATACCTGCTCCCAAAAGAAGATAACTCTGCAATAGGCAAAGACGGAATAAGCATCAAGTTTTTATATATGAATACAAAGTTATTTTTATTACATTATTAAAATTAATCCATACAAATACATTTAGGTTAAAGTCAGTAACAGATACCAAGGTAATACTCACGATGGTTTTGTTGTACCATGGACGGCTGGTTTTGAACAGGATATGATGACATTTTTCTTTGTTTTTATTCCTTTAAAATATATAAATGGAGATTCATTATACACAAATCATTTAGGCAAAAAAAAAAAAGTCTGTTTAGGGTTACTGACCGACCCTAGCTTTTTACCCCCGACCCAAAACTTTTTGATGAAAAAAAAAAAAAATGAACCTTGTTATGTAATTCTTTGTTTTAAATACAACAGCAGGGTCATAATCACATGACCAAAAAAATCAAAAAAAAAATCAAAAAAATCTGACCTACCTACCCTAGTTTTTTTGCCCATGCAACCCTAAACAGACTTTTTTTTTTTTTGACCTTACAAACTAATGTGTCAAAAACTTTATCATGTCACTAGGAAACAATTTTAGTGAGTCTGTTTAAAGGCTGCCAATACAGCTTGATGCTGAGATACCAGCTGCATTACCAATACCTTCCTAAATTTACGGCAACATCGTTTTATCATCAGTAATCGAAAAACAATTTACAATATTCAATTTACTGTCATTAAACAAGAGGCCCAAGGGCCTTAGCGGTCATCTGAGTTATATCATAGGTACTGGTAGCTTTATTTTATTGTTGAGATGTGATGTGGAAATCAGCATGTAAACTAAGTGAAATACAATACTTGTCTGCCATCAAAGGATAAGAATTTGAAAATATTAGTAAATGTTCCCTTTGGGGCCCCGCCCTAGCCCCTGGGGATCGGGCAGGAATTCCAATTTTACAATGTAATACCCTCATCCACTCAAGATGATTCTGACCAAGTTTGAATAAATTTCTGCTGAAAATGGATAAAATATACCCAAAAGTGTTATTTCCCCATATAAACTAAAGTAAACTTTACCCCCTCCCCAAGGGAGAATGGATAGCTCGGGGGTCCTGAAATTTACAATTTAAATAAAGCCCCTGATGATCTTTCCATCCATGCAGACAAAATGACTGTAGTACCTCTGAGTCTGGAGAAGAAGATTTTTGAAATATTGGTTAATTTGCCCTTTGGGGCCCCACCTTGGCCTGAGGGGTTGGGGTAGGAATCCCAATTTTACAATTTTGTAGCCTCATCTACCAAGAATGATTCTGACCAAGTTTGAAAACATTCCATCCACTGGTTCTTGAGAAGAAGTTGAAAATGTGAAAAGTTTATGGACAACGGACGGAAAGCGATCAGAATAGGTCACTTGAGCAAAGCTCAGGTGACCTACTGACCTAATAACTTGGAAATTCAGAAAACTATTCCACGCCTCACTCGATCTGTTTGTCAATGGAAATAATTCACGCTCCGCAGTTCTTAAAACAGGTTAGTATTACATCTTGAAAACTGCCTCGTTCAACAGTGAAAGTATAATTCTTAAAATCCTAGAAAAAAAAGAAGTTCTCTAGGTTTTTCTTGCCAGAAATTAGTATACATGCAGAACCGCCATTACAATTCAAATATAAATAATTAGAACCAGATAAGTGCAAAAATCGTCTTTTTCCGAGTTGAAAATTTTGGGCAACACCTAAAATTAATTCCTGCCCCCCCCCCCTTGATACCAGTAGAGAGATGCTACAGTTTTATACTAATGATGGATACATGTTTGTTGACAGGAGTAGTGTCAATAGGTCCAGTACACTGTCGATTGAGCTATAAAGACCTATATAGCTCTATATTCACCTATACATTTAAGCTGTATTGAGCTATATTTTCTGAGATTTCAATTTTCATTAAATTACAGCAAAGTCGCATAAAACAATAAGGTTTATGGTAATGTTGACTGCAAAAAGCATACGATTAGATGTATATTTTCATTTTTCATAAATGTAAAAATTTCAGATTTTTTTACATCATTATTTTTTTCAAATAATTATTTAATGTCTTTTGTGATCAACCTAATGATACAATCTTCTTTTAAATGCGACTTTGTTTCGTTTTCCTTAAAAAAGAAAATCACTTAAAAATAGCTGAAAATACCATTTCAGATAGGTCAATGGAGCTATTATAGTTCTTAACAGATAGCTCAATCGGCAGTGTATACGTACTGGACCTGGTTAAGATGGACATTCACCAAATCAATTGAAGCTGTGTAATAAATGAGACAATATTCTTAAATTTCACCGACTCAGCTGCTTAGTTCACAATTTATCGACGTGCTTGAGATAATGTATTGTCCAGTAACGGGTTGTACGTTCGTCCAATATACATTGTAAGTCTAGTCATATCGGACTTTTATATATATAGTTAGATTTTCAAGTGCTCCAGTACCCATTTGTTTGTACCGAAACGTCTTGGATTCCTCATGCAAATATGCATCCTCAAACAAGATAAATAAGAGACCAAGAAAATTTTATCTTCGCATGTTATACATAAACAATATAGTACTGATCGGTAAATAACTTTTCATTGGATTGCTAATGAGTTTAATATTATCGTAACTGAAGTTAGACATTTGTTTGCACACCGGCTTTTTACTTCATGTTGGAATTACTCCATTGCTCACCTTTTTGCGGCGATAATGCGTCTTAGATATTGAAAGAATGTCCTTTTAAGTTTTTGAACGGATAAAATGAAAAGGAAGTTAGCTTATTTACGAGGTTTTTCATTGGCAAACAGTAAAGAAAATTTCAGACACGCATGCGGCCATGTTGTCTGCACCCAAAGTGCTTGTCTTCCACACGCTTCAAATAATCATTCCTTTCGCTTCAAGCGTCAACATGACCTAAATATACTAATAATAATATAGTATTATTTTGTTTTAAATAATTTATTTTATCAAAAATATATTCACATCATCATTTTTATGTAAGATATAGTCGTTCAGTCAGATATGGTCAAAATATGAATGCTGTAAAATGTTCGACTAATTCCGTCCACGGCAACAAACCCGCATCAAAGATGGCTGACTCGCGGTTTGATGGATGTAAACATTCCTAATTATCGACAGTTTATACTACATTACTAAAGTCATACTGTCACAAACAGGGCGTATATTTCAACAATACAACCAACAGAATGGCTATGATTGCAAAAAACCGAACAAAGAGCACATGGACGCCGCTCAGCAATGGAAATACAAATAACCAGGTTAGTAAGTGGTGCACGGGCACGCACCTGCTGGGACTCCTATAGTAGAATCCACTATGTATCAGACATTACGCTGTTCTAAGGTTTCCACATCGAAACAGATTATTCACCAAAGTAATACAAAATAATATAATTATGTCGCACCTGATATGACAAAGTTGAGTCGGACTGATATTGTCCATGAAAAAGTGAAGAAAGCTTAATATTCATTAATTGTTGAAGGTTCTACAAGCCCCATGAAAGTTGCTATATTCACCCAAACTTCTAACCCTCTGATAGGTCATAGTCAAATATCCAGATTAAAAAGGAATCCATACTGTGTATACATAATTTGTGTAGCCCAATTATCCTCTGGCCCTGACACCAATCAGACTTGGATATTTTGACAGATAGATATCTGGTGTGGGACCATCCTCGATATTCAGGGGTTACGCTCACTTTCGCTCTCTACACACCTGGAATATGTCATAGCAAAATTGAAGGCTCGGTGAGCGCCACCTTGTTGATGAGACAAGAATACTTGTTCGATCCTTTGATGTACATCAAAAGAATCTTGCGGTCCCGTAACGGTAAAAATTGACAGGCTTTAAAGTCGTGCGTGTCTCCTTTGTAATCTTCAAAGTACAGGTATCAGCCTAGCGATTGGTCAGGTTTTTTTACCTGACACCAATCAAACAGCTATCTTCGTGCCTTCAATTTTGCCATGACATATTCCAGGGGTGTAGAGAGCGAAAGTGAGCGTAATCCCTGGATATTGAGGATGGTGTGGAACCAGAGCGCACTTCTATATGAAAATGTGGAATTCTACGACACTGTTTGCTGACAGCCAAAATTGACTATGATCGACACAACACATATCTCACAAATGGATTATTTATTGATCCATAGCTGCTCTTATTATAACCAACAGCTGCTTAATTCCGTCAGTAGAGTCCTCGGTTTTCAATCATTCAAAATTTCCCACATGAGCGAACGCCACTTTTATAGGTCAGGGGAGTGACTAAACAAAAAAAGGCGGTTCGGAAATCTTCTAAACAAGCTAGGATGATATGTTCCGTTTTTGGTCCTGATCAGTACCGCTTGTTGATTATTAGTCACTCCCCTGAGCAAATTTGGATATGTGGGGTATGTGTTGTGTCATAGTCGATCCAGAATGACAATAATAAACCAGGGCCTGTATTCATGAAACTGTTCTCATGCTCAAGCATGGATTTTGTGCTCAAGCTTAATTTCTTATTTCCATTATAAATTGATAATAAAATCTTATTTTGTCAATAATTTGGGGAAAACTGAAGAGATATAAAGCCAAATACTGTTTTCAATGTTTACATATATAAATTGACTAATTGATCGTCTGACATGATTTGAGTGAGTAACTAGAAAGTTGGTTTGAGCACAAAATCCATGCTTGAGCATGAGAACGGTTTCATGAATACGGGCCCAAGACCTTGTGCTGATAAATCCAACCAAGTTTCAGTATTTAACATTGGTTCAGTAGATTTTGAGTTAAAAGTGTTAACAGATTTTCAAAATGGAATCATGGTGGCCATATTAGATTAACACTTATTGGTCAGAACCATTTTTCAAATCAATTTTCAAAACGGCTGCTTTGGTGGACATATCGGATTTCAAATCATTCAGAACTTGGTTTTATGTCTCGGGCATTTAAGCTGATGCATTTACACATATAAATGTCAGATGTCATTAACCTTATGTTCTTTTCCCTCCGCAGATATTTGATGAAAGGAAGGCCTTAATAGGAAAATGGGTATGTAGATATTTGTAATTTATCTTTGCTCAATTTCAAAAGTTTCGTTTTATATTGCATTATGACCAATGAAAGAAATCAGGTCATACAAGGCCAAATCTCTCACAAGTCCTCTTGTTTATTTCCATATTAATATCTGTTGCAAAAAAGAACATTTTAAGCAGTCAGTGATTTCTACAGAATTATTTGAGCCTTTTTGTTATATGTACATATGTATGTAAAATCTTGAATTATATTTCTACATCAGATTGAAAATTAGTTAAGTTTTTACATTTTGTTCCTTATTCATGTTATTGTCTTACAGTTTGATAGATGGACTGATGAACAAAGAAAAAAGATCTTTGAAGATTTGGTACAAAGATCTAAACACAAGCAGTTACACTATGCTCGAGATTTGCTGAACGAGACAGTCCCAGCTTTTCACGAGGATTTTACGCGTGTGCTCCCACGCGTACTGTCTGTCTACATCCTATCGTTCTTGGATCCCAGGACGCTGTGTCGTTGTGCTCGGGTAGGTGTTGGATCTGGAAGTGTGAGATAGTACTAGAAGTGTGAGATAGTACTAGAAGTGTGAGATAATACTAGAAGTGTGAGTTATATAGAGGATCTCATATTGCTTTCCATTTGATGTGAGATTTATGAAACTAGCTGAGAGTGTTTTAATTTTGCAAGGCTTTTGGATGCCTGACGTTGTCCTCGTTTGGAACCACATTGATATGGATACCGGAAGTGCTCTCCATACAAATTACCACCAAACATTGTGTGAAGTCCTCAGAGAAAATTCATTTATGAGGCCATGTTCATGGCTGTTTTGAACCACAGTCTTGTTACAAGTCGCAGTCAACTGATTCTGTTGACATTGTGTTAAGGCGAGAGCCACGGTTCCTGATCATGAAGGGACAGATAATATATGCAAAATGATCTTGTACTGATCAAAGGTTATTTGACTGTAATAATTTACAGATTGTATATTTCTATGACCCGTTATCTGCATGATTTTGTTGGTATTCCCAGTAACATTAGGCCTAGATGGCTCGTCAGATACCAGTTTTAGACGGTTTCCCGTCATATTAATCGCAAAATCAACTCCGTCCATCTACACTGTGTATTTGTTAGGTCCTTATCAAATGGGATTTTCGCAAGCCCACTGCTGTCTAAACTGGCCACGAAAACACACACTAAATGTGAATAGACTGACCAATCAAAACCCTCCAGGATGATATTACATGTGTGTTCATAACAATATTTATGTAATGGGTGTTATTACACTGAGTCTTATAACAGGATAGTCATGTGATAAATCCACGTATGTATTGTAGGTGTGTTGGTACTGGAAGCACCTGTCGGAGAGTGACAAACTGTGGATGCCCAAATGTCTAAGGCTAGGCTGGATCCTGTCCTTCACACCAAGTCCCTATGAGACTGGCGTCTGGAAACGGAATTATGTGGAAAATCTTAGATTACTAAAGGTGCACAGACCCTCGGTATGTACTCGGCTATTAACAAACTCCAGAAAAATACTGAAATCATTTCACTAATTATCTCCCCTGAATAAATGAAAAACAAAACATTTATTACTGGGCATTCTTTGAAGTAGATGTTTTGACATATATTCATACTGCACAGTAGTAATTTGCTTACTCAATTTTAGTGATTCATTGATTTATATAAATCATCATGCTTTTTATTAGGACATTCTCTATTCACCAGTAAATTCTGATAAAATTTGACTTAAATTTAAGATAATGGGAAATGAGTTTTTAAATTATGATTGCACTTTATAGTTTTTATTGATTCATTCTTAATCTCACCATTCTTCATAGTGAGACTTTTACTATGTGCACATTGGTACAACCATACAGAGTTTTTAGCTCACCCGAAGGGCAAGTGAGCTTACGCATGGTGCTTCGTCCGTTTTCTGTCCATCGTTCATCCATTGTTTTCCGTCAACTTTACCTTTAAACAACTTCTTCTAAAGAACGGACAGGCCTAGAGTCCTGATATTTGGCTAAAAACTTTGATGGTAGATAGATATATATATATATAGAAGCCCTACAAAGTTTGAGAACGAAAATGATCTTGACCTACTTTCAAGGTCACAGGGGTCAAATGTGTAAAACACTTCAAACTAATTCTTCTGAAAAACTGAAAGGTAGAGAATCTTCATATTTGGTTGGTGGCTTTCTGGGATAGAGCCTGACAAATTTGAGAATAAAAATGACTTTGACCTACTTTCAAGGTCACAGTGGTCAAATATGTCAAACTCTTCAAACAATTTTTCTGAATAATCTTAAAGCATAAATTTGTAATATTTGGCTGGTAGCTTCCTGGGATGGTGCCTAATAAAATTTGCAAATGAAAATAACCTTGACCTACTTACAAGGTTACAGGGAAAAATATGTCAAACACTTCAAACAACTTCTGAAGAAGAACCAAAAAGCATAGAATCATAAAATAATATTTGACTGGTAGTTTCAACTGATGGAGTCGACAAAGTTTGGGAGTGAAATATTTTTAGTGCAATATAATATTTAAAGAGAATTTTTTGCTATGACTGCTTCAATATTCAGGTGAGCGATACAGGCCCTCTGGGCCTCTTGTTTCAATTTTCATATTATGATGTTTTTCCTCTTCTACTTAATCAAATTTGAAAAAAAATAGTTTTGTTGAATGAAAAAAAAAAATCTAAAAAGAAATGCTTTATGTTGATATTTTTGATGAATTTGAATTATGTCTGCCCTATTTTCCTCGTCAACAGAATCCCCAGGTAAATCTGACTCTAGTCTGCCAGCCTGGAATATGTTGTTCAGATCCTGATCTCAGTAGCTTTATACTGTTAACCTATGTTGATGCATTGCATGAGTTGCATGCACATTCAAATTGTCAGCTAAAATCTGGCCGTTATCAGACTCATTGCCTGAAGTTAGCTTCAGATAGGATTTTGGTTATGATGTTATTATTTCTAAGATAGTAAAAAAAAAAAAATCAAAAAAAAAAATCTTGGAATTGTAAAATGAATTAATTACTGTAATCCAGTGCTGGGATCCCTCAGTACTGTAAGGCAGTTACATTGGTGTATAAATATAAGATGTTGTCTTCGAAATATCTAAATCCAAGCAGTTTTAAGTGTTCCATGTCTGTAGCTTGGTACAAACAGTTTGGATGAGGATGTGACTGAGATCAGATAGGTGATACTGATCAGGGTGTGAACAGCATATTCTCTACCACATATTAATTAAATATTCACTTGTTTCTCATTGCATGTTATTCAATTTACAAGTTGGGTGATCTATGTAATATTTTTTGTAATTTCATACAAATGTACAAAACTTTGTTATTTTACCTGTAAAAAGGACAGTTTCCAAGTAAGATCAATAACGCTATTTATTGCATTAATTACCAAAATTACCCAACATAATTAATTAATTATTGCATACCTGGAAATTTTTGCACAATGCAACTTTTGCCTTTTTTTGCCTTTGACAACGAGGGTGAATTTATTGTTACAGCAAATATCAGTAAAAATCATAGTAAACAAAGTAATAAGATGTAAAGGGCTAAGATAACACCTGACGGATAGGAATTTTATCAGCAAAGTGCAAAAGTTTCCTCAAGTATACAGTGTCTAATCTGAAAATAAATCTCGGACAATCCTTCTGAAAGTCTGAAGTCTGAGTAAGAAGTAGGTAAGTCATATAGTTCATTGTAACTGTTATGACACTTTAAGTTAGTGAATTATCTGTGATGGAAGTGTGTTATCTCCCTTATCTGTTATTGTGAAATTGTCCTAGTGTTATAGATCAATGCAAGCTTTTTGAGGTTGATTATTACATGTTACATGAATCAGTTCTCTAGATTTACCTGTATAAAACATGACACTGTGGTGTGGGACTATTGGGTTAAGGGTATGTGTAGTACATCCCTAACTTACAGTGATGGTAGGCTAATGTATATCGAGGATTTTAAAGGTTCTAGAGCTCGCAGTTTTTTGTCTATTGTAGAGTTTTTTGCCCTAAACACTGACTTTTGAGTTTTAATTGGTTGATTTGAAAGTTAAAAATGTTCCAGAATAATGTTCATGTTTTATGTACAAATTGATACATTTTCCCTATTAAACTGAAAGCCCAGCATACTTGACTTACAAGTAGTTTAGAGGGTGAAAATAGGATGTTTTAGAAAATAAACTAGAAAATAAATTAATAATTGTTAACAAAATAATGTTTTATTATGATTTAAAAAAAAAAAAATAATAATAATAATAATAATTAAAATAAAATAATTTTCCTGCCTATAATCTCATTCATTTATGATATCTATAGACTAGTGTGTAATTTGTGTTGTTATAAGGCATTCCAATATACATTAGATGGCTGCTGGTATTACCCTATTAACTTGTATTAGATTTATCATGTCGGAGTCCTATAGTTAACTTTCTGTAGCTAAATATGTGGTTATATTCTGTGATATACTTTTGACTGTTTTGGTAGAAATGCAGCCTATTTGATAAGATATATTGATAATTGACCGATATATATTTACTCAGACTGTAAAAAACATTTAACTAGTATTATAGCTTAATCTGCTACTTATCTCTTACTTTACATGTATTCGTAATGAACTAAGATATCAATGTAATCATCTCACACAGTGTTCAGATGCTTCCTAAACCTGCTATTGATCATGTTAGGTTTTCTTGAGAATACAATTATGTAACAATTGAAATTGTGTTGTATATATATATAGCTATCATTGATTTTTGAAAAAGTGTTTAATCAAATTATTCTAAATACCCTGTCTATCTTTTCCCAGGATTTATTACAATACTTAAAGGTGTATTATTCAGTGATATTTAAAGCCCCTGCTTGTTAGTATTACAGCTAGCCTGCCAGTGTGTAAACAGCATGTGACATACGTGTCCTACCTATACTGTGCACTAGTGCTTCAATTTAATTAAGGAGGTTAAACTTTCAAGGTTTTGCTCCTTAAACAAATTTGGATACACTATATCTGAGTACATGCTATATTATGAAGCTGTCTTATCTGAAAGGGCAAAATATATTTCACCTTTTTTTCAAGCTGTGAGTCTTAATGAGTCTTAAATTAACCTGCCTGTTGATTTTAATAGGCATCATGGTTTATTTACAATCATTTCTAAGAACTTATCATGACCTGACTTAAGTCGATTCTCCCAACTACTACTTTGATTAATACATGTGAGACAGTAATAAGTATGTTGATAAATAGTTAAAGTGGAAAATAGAAGCTAAGCTTACAAAATTACCCAATTATGTGTTAATACCACAAGTAAGTCGCAACATAATCACAAATATAGTCCGATACTGTACTCAACCTAGTAAGTTCCTTGTATTCCATTATTAGGGGAAAATAAGTGATGGCAGAATCTTCTGAAATTACAAAAAAACAACGTTATAGACAATTTATTCATCATTCTTCAGCAAATTATGGCAAAGTATATGGGGAGTTGAACTAGTAAAAGGCAAGGTGGTGTCAATACAAGGAATTGGGTGCTTAAGAGGTTGAGTACGGTACCTGTGCATGTGTCTTCTCATCCCTCACATCTAGCTAGTATCATCACTCATCTCACCGGCTAGTAAATATATTAGTGTTTCAGTGCAGGCCAATTATACCTTGTGTATCATCTTAAATGTGATAGCAATTTTAATATAGCTATAGGACAGATACAGTTTGAAAGATGTATTAAATGCTGAAAAAAATCTCATTAGTGACATTATTGACAGTTCTAATTCAAAGTTTTATGTACAAATAAGGTATTACACCGTGTAACCTGCCTGTCGAGGCTACACTGTGTAACCTGCCTGTCTAGGATACACTGTGTAACTGCCTGGCGAGGTTAGGCTGTGTAACTCTCTGTCGGGGTTAGCTGTGTAAGTGCCTGTCGCGGTTACGCTGTGTAACTGCCTGTCGAGGTTACACAGTGTAAATGCCTGTCAAGGTTACGCTGTGTAAGTGCCTGTCGAGGTTACGCTGTGTAACTGCCTGTCGAGGTTACACAGTGTAACTGCCTGTTGAGGTTACACAGTGTAACTCTCTGTCGCGGTTAGGCTGTGTAAGTGTCTGTCGAGGTTACGCTGTGTAACTGCCTGTCAGGGTTAGGCTGTGTAACTGCCTGTCGAGGTTACACAGCGTAAATGCCTGTCGAGGTTACGCTGTGTAACTACCTGTCGAGGTTACGCTGTATAACTGCCTGTCGAGGTTACACAGTGTACCTCTCTGTCGCGGTTAGGCTGTGTAAGTGCCTGTCGCGGTTACGCTGTGTAACTGCCTGTCGAGGGTACACAGTGTAAATGCCTGTCAAGGTTACGCTGTGTAACTGCCTGTTGAGGTTACGCTGTGTAACTGCCTGTCGCGGTTAGGCTGTGTAAGTGCCTGTCGAGGTTACGCTGTGTAACTGCCTGTCAGGGTTACACGGTGTAACTCTCTGTCGAGGTTACGCTGTGTAACTGCCTGTCGAGGTTACGCTGTGTAACTGCCTGTCGCGGTTAGGCTGTGTAATTGCCTGTCAAGGTTACGCTGTGTAACAACCTGTTTTCTGTTTATCATTAAGGTATGAATGTTTATACATGTATATATATACAGTGTATGAAAAAAATGAAAACTATTTGTAGTATTTTCTTCTTCTTTTATGAACTGGAGCATTTCTGATATTTTTTTATTATATCCATTACAAAGCTGTAGTTCAAACTTGTTTTGTTATATTGATATATTCATTGAAAGCTATAGACATGTTTAACCACATTGTAATCATTCTAGGTCCAGATTGTCAGGTAAATTGTTACACATATAAATAGCACAGAGTTAATATTCTACTTTTAAAAAGTTTGTGTTTTTTGATAATGTATGTATAAAACTAAACTTTTAGAACATCGTTATGTGTTTACTGCAGCATTCAACCTTGGAACAGCTGGAGAAGTTAAAGCTTGACCTTGAAAAGGATTATCGTGTATCTAAGCACAAGAGTAAGAAGAAGGAGAAAACGCCTTGGCGTGGATCTGACCCGGTCCCTAAAGACACGTGGCGTTATAATGTGCTGGAGAACGACGACGTTGTACAGAGTGTCAATAAGATGTAGGTCATTGTTGTAAAGATACATTTACTGACGGGAATATGTTGTGATATATATAGCATATGAGTTCCATTTCATAGGAGATTTATGAAGCAAGTCTAAGAATATTTCTTTCTAACAAGACTATGGCGAACTAAAATGTAAAGTCTGTTGTGAGTTTCATCCGTCTCATGTAAAAGTTAAGTGGACACAGATTTAATCCACATAATCAAGATTTACTGCTACTGTTATGAAAACCTCACTTTTTTCTGGGTCATTATTGAAGTATAAAATTCCACCATCTTAGCTCTATATAGTCATCATTGTGTTGTAATGTAATATGGGATGTCATTTCAATATCATTTATGATTTATTTCCTAGATATATTTCTGTGAAAATGTTTTGTTGCATCTGTAATAAATGTTACAGAAAAAATTTAAACTTTTTGAGTGAACTATTTCCAAAATGTTAAAAAACAATTTATGCTTGTTAATACTATTTTACCATTTTACAGAAGGAAGAGGATGACGTATGGATCCGAGGCAGAGATGGTATCGAAGAATGCCAAGAGTAAAGTAAAGGCGGGTCACAATGCCCTCAACATGTCGACCAGGAGGTCAATTTCTGCCTCTGTGCCGGTCAGTCTTTATTTCATCCTCATTTTATTTCATTTAAAAAAAAAAAAAAATCAGATTGGTACGCGTACAGTCAGCCATTAGATGTTGATTGTTAGACAGCAATAGAACTGTGGTGAGCTGGTAGACACACGACTCTTAGAGTGTTAGACAGTAATAGATCTGTGGTGAGCTGGTAGACACACGGCTCTTAGAGTGTTAGACAGTAATAGATCTGTGGTGAGCTGGTAGACACGACTCTTAGAGTGTTAAACAGCAGTAGATCTGTGGTGAGCTGGTAAACACACGACTCTTAGAGTGTTAGACAGTAATAGATCTGTGGTGAGCTGGTAGACACACGGCTCTTAGAGTGTTAGACAGTAATAGATCTGTGGTGAGCTGGTAGACACACGCCTCTTAGCGTGTTAGACAGCAGTAGATCTGTGGTGAGCTGGTAGACACGACTCTTAGATTGGTACGCGTACAGTCAGCCATTAGATGTTGATTGTGAGACAGCAATAGAACTGTGGTGAGCTGGTAGACACACGACTCTTAGCGTGTTAGACAGCAGTAGATCTGTGGTGAGCTGGTAGAAACACGACTCTTAGAGTGTTAGACAGCAGTAGATCTGTGGTGAGCTGGTAGACACACAACTCTTAGAGTGTTAAACAGCAGTAGACCTGTGGTGAGCTGGTAGACACACATCTCTTAGAGTGTTAGACAGCAGTAGATCTGGGGTGAGGTGGTAGACACACGACTCTTAGAGTGTTAGACAGCAGTAGATCTGTGGTGAGCTGGTAGACACACGACTCTTAGAGTGTTAGCCAGCAGTAGATCTGTGGTGAGCTGGTAGACACATGACTCTTAGAGTGTTAGACAGCAGTAGATCTGTGGTGAGGTGGTAGACACACGTCTCTTAGAGTGTTAGACAGCTGTAGATCTGTGGTGAGCTGGTAAACACATGACCCTTAGAGTGTTAGACAGCAGTAGAACTGTGGTGAGCTGGTAGACACATGACCCTTAGAGTGTTAAACAGCAGTAGATCTGTGGTGAGCTGGTAGACACACGACTCTTAGAGTGTTAGCCAGCAGTAGATCTGTGGTGAGCTGGTAGACACACGTCTCTTAGTGTGGTAGACAGCAGTAGATCTGTGGTGAGCTGGTAGACACACGACTCTTAGAGTGTTAGTCAGCAGTAGAACTGTGGTGAGCTGGTAGAAACACGACTCTTAGAGTGTTAGACAGTAATAGATCTGGGGTGAGCTGGTAGACACACGACTCTTAGAGTGTTAGCCAGCAGTAGATCTGTGGTGAGCTGGTAGACACACGTCTCTTAGAGTGTTAGTCAGCAGTAGAACTGTGGTGAGCTGGTAGACACACGTCGCTTAGAGTGTTAGACAGCTGTAGATCTGTGGTGAGCTGGTAATCACATGACCCTTAGAGTGTTAGACAGCAGTAGATCTGTGGTGCGCTGGTAGACACATGACCCTTAGAGTGTTAACCAGCAGTAGATCTGTGGTGAGCTGGTAGACACGACTCTTAGAGTGTTAGACAGTAGTAGAACTGTGGTGAGCTGGTAGACACACGTCTCTTAGAGTGTTAGACAGCTGTAGATCTGTGGTGAGCTGGTAAACACATGACCCTTAGAGTGTTAGACAGCAGTAGAACTGTGGTGAGCTGGTAGACACACGACTCTTAGAGTGTTAGACAGCAGTAGATATGTGGTGAGCTGGTAGACACACTACACTTAGAGTGTTAGACAGCAGTAGATCTGTGGTGAGCTGGTAGACACGACTCTTAGGGTGTTAGACAGCAGTAGATCTGTGGTCACCTGGTAGACACACGACTCTTAGAGTGTTAGACAGCAGTAGATCTGTGGTGAGGTGGTAGACACGACTCTTAGAGTGTTAGACAGCAGTAAAACTGTGGTGAGCTGGTAGATTTACGACTCTTAGAGTGTTAGACAGCAGTAGATCTGTGGTGAGCTGGTAGACACATGACTCTTAGAGTGTTAGACAGCAGTAGATCTGAGGTGAGCTGGTAGACACATGACTCTTAGAGTTTTAGACAGCAGTAGATCTGTGGTGAGCTGGTAGACACGACTCTTAGAGTGTTAAACAGCAGTAGATCTGTGGTGAGCTGGTAAACACACGACTCTTAGAGTGTTAGACAGCAGTAGATCTGTGGTGAGGTGGTAGACACGACTCTAAGAGTGTTAGACGGCAGTAGAACTGTGGGGAGCTGGTAAACACACGTCTCTTAGAGTGTTAAACAGCACTAGATCTGTGGTGAGCAGGTAGACACGACTCTTTAGAGTGTTAGACAGCCGTTGATCTGGGGTGAGCTTAGTAGATCTGTGGTGTGCTGTTAAACACACGACTCTTAGAGGGTTAGACGGCAGTAGATCTGGGGTGAGCTTGTAGGCACACGACTCTTAGAGAGCTAGACAGCAGTAGATCTGGTGGTAGCTGGTAGACACACTTAGCGTGTTAGACAGCAGTAAAACTGTGGTGAGCTGGTAGACACACGACTCTTAGAGTGTTAGACAGCAGTTGATCTGGGGTGAGCTTGTAGACACACGACTCTTAGAGTGTTAGACAGCAGTAGATCTGGGGTGAGCTGGTAGACACACGACTCTTAGAGATCTGTGGTGAGCTGGTAGACACACGACTCTTAGAGTGTTAGACAGCAGTAGGATTGTGGTGAGCTGGTAGACACATGACTCTTAGAGTGTTAGACAGCAGTAGATCAGTGGTGAGCTGGTAGACACATGACTCTTAGAGTGTCAGACAGCAGTAGGATTGTGGTGAGCTGGTAGACACACGACTCTTAGAGTGTTAAACAGCAATATAATTTTGGTGAGCTGGTAGATACTGACCTCTAGAATCCTGACTGGCCCCTATACTTCTGACTTAACTCTGTAATCCTGTCAATGACCTCTATAATTCTGTCTGACCTCTTTAATCCTGACTGACCTCTATAATTCTGTCTGACCTCTAGAGTTCTGACAGACCTCTATAATCCTGACTGACCTCTATAATTCTGACTGACCTCTAGAATTCTGTCTGATCTCTATAAATCTGACTGACCTCTATAAATATGACTTACCTCTAGAATTCTGTCTGACCTCTAGTATTCTGACAGACCTCTATAATCCTGACTGACCCCTATACTTCTGACTTAACTCTGTAATCCTATCACTGATCTCTATAATTCTGTCTGATCTCTATAATCCTAACTGACCTCTATAATTCTGACTAACCTCTATTATCCGGTATGACCTCTTTAATTCCCACCGACCTCTACAATTCTCACTGACCTCCATAATTCTGATGACCTCTATTATTCTGTCTGACCTCTATAATTCTGTCTGACCTTTATAATCCTGACTGACCTCTATAATTCTGAATTACCTCTATTATCATGTGTGACCTCTATAATTCTGACTTGCTTCTGTAATCCTGTCACTGACCTCTATAATTCTGTCTGACCTCTATAATCCTGACTGACCTCTATAATTCTGTCTAACCTCTATTATCATGTGTGACCTCTATAATTCTGACTTGCTTCTGTCATCCTGCCACTGACCTCTATAATTTTGTCTAACCTCTATTATCCTGTTTGACCTCTATAATTCTTTCTGACCTCTATAATTCTGTCAGATCTTTATAATATTGTCTGACCTCTTTTATTCTGTCTGACCTCTATAAATCTGACTGACCTCTATAAATCCGACTAACCTCTAGAATTCTGTCTAACCTCTAGAATTCTGACAGACCTTTATAATCCTGACTGACCCCTATACTTCTGACTTAATTTTGTAATCCTGTCACTGACCTCTAGAATTCTGTCTGATCTCTATAATCCTGACTGACCTCTATACACCTGACTGACCTTTAGAATTCTGACTGACCTCTAGAATTCTGTCTGACCTCTATAATTCTGACTGATCTCTATAATTCTGACTGACCTCCTGTCAGTGACCTCTATAATTCCGACTGATCTGTATAATTCTGACTGACCTCTATAATCCTGACTGACCTCTGACCTCTTTTATTCGGTATCTCTGGTTTAGGAGGGGTCTATGGGCTCATAGACCCCTCCTTACCCAGACATAATGAATTTGTCACCCTGACAATCTTTTTTTAATGTTTTCTGCAAAGTTATATGCCACTTTGTGAGTTTGACTTATACTTGACTGTTCACTCAAAATAGCCCCTACCAGACACCTTTTTGGCTGAAAATCTGCTGGCTGTTTTTTTTCTTTTAAATAATCACACAGCGACCCCCTCATTTCCCTTTTTCGTTGAATTTGTTCATGTTTTAGATTTCTAGAAGGCTTTATCATCCTCTGAGTGAGTGGTGAACAGTACCATCTTTGTTGTTATGAAGAGAGATTCTAGCTTGAGTTAACTCCCCTTGCATGTGCTTTTATAGACACCGGCAGAGCAGGGCCTATAGAAATATAGACCCCGGCAGAGCGGGGCCAATAGAAATATAGACCCCAGCAAGATATCCAGTCAGAAAGAGTGTTACTAATAAGAAGGGTGACAAAATTTGATATTGCTAGGCACAATATAATATGGACCTGACATTGAATAAGTAATCTTATAACAGAAATACTGGTACGTATGGTGATACAGGATTTTGTTCCAGTTATATTATACTGTATTTAGTCTTGCAACACAAAACACCTCCTGTAATGCAGAAAATCACATTTGGAAGCTGATTTTTCATTTTCGGGATGAATTTCAATAACATGAATTATAACTTTATTGGAGCAAAAGTCTAAAATAAAATGGCTTCTGATTTATTGCTCTGAAAGATAATATCAGGTAGAAGGACTCTAATGGTCAAGAAACATTGTTCTGTGTGGCGAGATTACCCACTCTGACCTAGTGTATTAATGATATTCCTTTTTCCCTTGTAGAGACTGAACACAGGTTTCACAGAGAACGATGGGCTGGGGAGACCGCAGTGGGCCAAAAATAAGACTGGATCACCATATGTGTCGTTTGATCCTGGTATGGAGACTGTTCAACGTCCAGGCCCAGTTAGTCCTCCAACCAAGTCCAAGAATGCACATCCCATCTCAGCACGGTCCGGCAGGGATCCACCATGTAAGTTACCAACTATGTAAATCTTCTGCCACAGGTAGCCGTAAAAATCTTTCTATCTGTTGTCCTTTCCTCTTTATGTCTGTTGTCCTTTCCTCTTTATGTCTGTTTGTCCTTTCCTCTTTATGTCTGTTTGTCCTTTCCTATTTTTGTCTGTTTGTCTTTTCCTTTTTCTGTCTGTTTGTCCTTTCCTATTTATGTCTGTTTGTCTTTTCCTCTTTATGTCTGTTTGTCCTTTCCTATTTTTGTCTGTTTGTCTTTTCCTCTTTATGTCTGTTTGTCTTTTCCTCTTTATGTCTGTTTGTCCTTTCCTCTTTATGTCCATTTGTCCTTTCCTCTTTATTTCTGTTTGTCCTTTCTTCTTTAAGTCTGTTTGTCCTTTCCTCTTTTTGTCTGTTTGTCTTTTCCTCTTTATGTCTATTTGTCCTTTCCTATTTTTGTCTGTTTGTCCTTTCCTCTTTATGTCCATTGGTCCTTTCCGCTCTATGTCTGTTTGTCCTTTCCTCTTTATGTCTGTTTGTCCTTTCCTCTTTTTTATTTCTGTTTGTCCTTTCTTCTTTAAGTCTGTTTGTCCTTTCCTCTTTTTGTCTGTTTGTCCTTTCCTCTTTATGTCCATTTGTCTTTTCCTCATTATGTCTGTTTGTCTTTTCCTCTTTATGTCTGTTTGCCTTTTCCTCTTTATGTCTGTTTGTCCTTTCCTGTTTTTGTCTGTTTGTCCTTTCCTCTTTATGTCCATTTGTCTTTTCCTCATTATGTCTGTTTGTCTTTTCCTCTTTATGTCCATTTGTCCTTTCCTCTTTATGTCTGTTTGTCCTTTCCTCTTTAAGTCCATTTGTCCTTTCCTCTTTATTTCTGTTTGTCCTTTCTTCTTTAAGTCTGTTTGTCCTTTCCTCTTTTTGTCTGTTTGTCCTTTCCTCTTTATGTCCATTTGTCCTTTCCTCTTTATGTCTGTTTGTCCTTTCCTAATTTTGTCTGTTTGTCTTTTCCTCTTTATGTCTCTTTGTCCTTTCCTATTTTTGTCTGTTTGTCTTTTCCTCCTTATGTCTGTTTGTCTTTTCCTCTTTATGTCTGTTTGCCTTTTCCTCTTTATGTCTGTTTGTCCTTTCCTAATTTTGTCTGTTTGTCTTTTCCTCTTTATGTCTGTTTGCCTTTTCCTCTTTATGTCTGTTTGTCCTTTCCTATTTTTGTCTGTTTGTCCTTTCCTCTTTATGTCCATTTGTCTTTTCCTCTTTATGTCTGTTTGTCTTTTCCTCTTTATGTCTGTTTGTCTTTTCCTCTTTATGTCTGTTTGTCCTTTCCTATTTTTGTCTGTTTGTCTTTTCCTCTTTATGTCTGTTTGTCTTTTCCTCTCTATATCTGTTTGTCCTTTCCTCATTATGTCTGTTTGTCCTTTCCTCTTTATGTCCATTTGTCCTTTCCTCTTTATGTCTGTTTGTCCTTTCCTATTTTTGTCTGTTTGTCTTTACCTCTTTATGTCTGTTTGTCCTTTCCTCTTTATGTCCATTTGTCTTTTCCTCTTTATGTCTGTTTGTCCTTTCCTCTTTATGTCTATTTGTCTTTTCTCTTTATGTCTGTTTGTCTTTTCCTCTTTATGTCTTTGTCCTTTCCTATTTTTGTCTGTTTGTCTTTTCTTCTTTATGTCTGTTTGACCTTTCCTATTTTTGTCTGTTTGTCTTTTCCTCTTTATGTCTGTTTGTCTTTTCCTCTTTATGTCTGTTTGTCCTTTCCTCTTTATGTCTGTTTGTCCTTTCCTCTTTATGTCCATTTGTACTTTCCTCTTTATTTTGTCTGTTTGTCCTTTCCTCTTTATGTCTGTTTGTCCTTTCCTCTGTAAAGTAGGTATCAGATCAGTGCTATCATATGTAGGCAAATTTACCAACTAGTTAAACTATGCAGCCAACCCTCATAGTTCAGGAAAAAGAAACATCTAGACAGATAATGTAGGCCCATCTTGCAACAAACACATAAAACTCTTAAAATATCCGAAACAGTAGGTTTTTTAAAAGTTGTGTAAAATTATGTTTTTGTTTGTTTATTTATAGCAGCAAGACTATTTCCTGAGAAACCCTGGGATGTGCCGACTGACTCTGATGAGGATCTCTGACCCTTGACCTGGAATGTAATTAACCTGACCTGAGAAATTTGCAGACCTTGAACCTAGGATATTGGTTGACTTTTACATGGTGGACATGTACTGAACTCTGTCTAATGGTTTATAGGATGTAGCCTCCCGTCCCTAGTGTATAATCAACATAGATAGATAATAAAATTCATTTTATTAGGTAGACAACTGGAAGAAGTCATTCGCTGCAGCAGGTCGTTGATCTGTATGTTTTAGGTGAGCTTCAAAAGCCACCTCAAGCCGAGGGGAATCCTGTAAAACAATGTCCCCCCCCCCCCCCCCCCCCCCCCCCAGCTAATTGGTGTCTGGAATCACCACTGGACAATTTGTTGGTGACACAGTTTTCTAGTTTTAGTGAATATGCTGGCAGAATTCTGTTTTAAATCGGATCATTTACATGTGTGATAGCTTTTTCTACTATAAACAAGAAAAAAGAAAGCAGTTTAGATCTTCTCTCTATATATACGTACAATTACATTAGAACCGTTTTCTTTAGCTCATATTAATAGCAATTATTTTATAAATTATTTTGCTATCCAAATCTTCATCTAATTGTATGAAAAAATGTGATGTTTTCTTGAACATCAAAAATCTCATTTGATATAATCACATTTGATACACATTTATTAGATTTATAATATTTTATTGAAAAATTCATACTTATGTCATAGGTTGAGAATATTATTGAATATAGATTCTATCCTTTTTTATCCTGACACCATAGCATTACAGGAGTTCTGTGAGTGCTGTGATATATACAGTGTAGTTTACTCCAGAACAGCTGGTGATGTTTCATCAGTGTTTTACTTTAAACTTCAACATTTATGATCACAAATAACTGGTGTTCAGATTTCCAATAAAGCAGTGAAATATTTAATATATTTCACGGTCTTGCCCTAATTAGCATATTATATTATATATTTTTTCACCTACATATCAACTTTAAAAAAAAAAATGACCACTACTATTCATTGTTATTTTGTAACTGTTCCGTTAAGTGTAACTGGAGGCACGGTAGTCTAGTGGTAGGACGCGGGGCTCATGAACGAAGCGTTGCTTGTTCGAGTCACTGCACAGCACTGTGTTGTATCTTTGAGCAAGATACTTTACTCTGCTTGTTACAGTCTACTCAGCTGTAAATGAGTACATGGTTGGGCAGTGCTAGAATTGTTGAATGCTAGCTGTTAGCGCCGAAATGGCAGCTCTGGTTGCATGCTCCCCAGGGAATTGAGAAAGGTATTGGCTGTTTGCAAAGGCCCTATAACCACGGATAATAATTTGCAAACCGCTTTGAGACGACCTATGAACTAGGTTGTGATAAAGCGGTATATAAGAACCTCGAGTTATTATTATGTTACCATTACTGAGGTACGAATCTTCCCCATTCTTTGTCAAACATTTTTGTGTCAGATGTCAACGTTTTAAGTATACTTCTGAAAATGTATTGTTAAGATTCAAGAAAAGTGTAGTGATAAACATTTCTTTAACTTTGGTTCCCCATTTGTATTCTTTGTGATTTTCTTTAAACTAAAGCCTCTGGCCATCAATGCTTTGACAAGGTTAAATCAAGCAAGCATTGGTTTTGATGCAAAACAACTTTAACAACAATATTTTACCCGAAGATGAGTTAATTATCATATGAGATTGTTTTGAAAATAAGGTAAAACTGAACTCTCTTTTGAAAATAAGGTAAAGCTGAACTCTCTTTGAAAATGGACAAAAATCTCCAGAACATTATGGAAGGAGCTTCATGGAAACGAGTAGTGATTCCACAATAGCAGATATTTTAGATGGTTCTGAATGAAGAGATTCTGTTTGCTTACATCTTTTATTTAAATTAATCACCAGATGCCTACATATATTTGAACACTTTTTCTTGTGTAAACAGACGCTGTGGCGCTTACCTTCTGTCGTGTCCCGACGTTGACTACGCAGGTCTCTATCACTGATCAAATGTAATGCCTATATCCATATAAAAATTTGTTATATTACAGTTAGATTTATTAGTCTTGTGATAATGTGTATCCTACTTCACAGGATGGAACATGATATTAGAAGTGTGTAGCCTGTAGATTTCAGTAAGGGTAACTTGATTCCCTATACATATATAGGGTACCTAATTGGTTGGTTGGTTGGTTGATGGGTTTATAGATTACACTTCTAGGGCGAAGCCCGTGTTCAGTCGTCTTGAGGGGGTAAGACTCCAGCTTACCGGGCCCTCAGAGATTCAAAATATCCTAGCCTGTCCAGGTCACGCCCTAAGGTAGGACAGCTCCTCAGATGCGGATAGTCTGTCACAGCTACTGCAGCACACATATGGGAACACGGGAAACATGACCTTTAAGTAGCCTCACTGCCCTCCTATGATAGGGTACCTTAACAGACATACTGTATTTATACTGCAATGAGCTCATGAAATTATATTAAATGAGACACTAGTACAATAGCTGTAAGATACACAGAACTATATGTCATTCCTCACAGAAGACAGTGTTCATTAGTGAGAGCTGTTCTGGTCAAAACAGATTTCAGCGTCGACACACATATGGTCTGGAATCCAACAGGTATAGTTCATTAACACTACCGTATAAAATCAAAATATGTCATTGACTGAAGCAGATTTGTCGGATCAGCTGTTCTAGCGACTGTTATTTTGCAGTAATACTTGTCAATATTCAGGAACTTGACCTATATCTTAAAAAATCCTATTGGTCATACATGTTGGACCTGAAATCTGTTTCAGCAAACATTTTTTATATCTAAAGTTTAGGCACATGTCTAAACTTTGTGTGGCTGCGGTTTATGTAAGGAGGCAAAAATGTTTAGGTCATAACCTCTTATGAGTGAAAAATAAATAAAAACAAAATATTTCCCTACTTTCCTTTTATGTACTGTTTGTATCGTAGCTGTCTTCTACCTCCTTTGTGAAGTCGGTGTATACATGATTTTTGTGATGGTCTGTTGATGCCTGTATATTTTAATATTTAAAACCTGTGATAAATGTTGTGCAGTATTATGAAAAATGTTAGGGTTTTCATATTTTGAGTTGAATTCAACCATTTTTTGTATTTGTATGGGCCAATCAGCACAATTCTGTTGTTTTAAGCTATTGCTTGTTAATATTTCCTTACAAAAATGTTTTCAATGCTGTAGGTAGATAAATAGCCTAGCCTTTATAGCAAAGATGTACCAAAACATCTATATATGGTATCGCCACATTATCTGTATCTGAAACTGAACATCTGTCGCTTTAAATAAAGCGATAGTAAGTACTGTTCTAATTGGTCCATTCTGAAGTCATATTTTGGCGCTGTTATGTCACAGTTTGACAGATATCAGTTTTATCAAGCTCCAGCAAAAATGTGATAAAAGTGTATATTTAACTCATTCACCCCTGAAAACCCACTTGTACCCTTCCAATTCAAAGGTTTGACTAGTTCATTATGACATTTCAGGGGTGAATGCGTTAAAGGTTAATCATTCCTATCACGTACATTATTCCTTTATGCTGTATTTAAATATTGCCGAGGATTAGTACATGTATATATACATTTTAACATACATTCCAATTAAGACTTGCATTTCATTAAATAGCGATCATGAAATAAGTTTTATAAAAATATTTAAATTATTTTTTGTTAATACATAAAATATCTGTGTTTATTTTTCATCCAATTAAAAAAATCACACCAGACATATAACATTTTTTCATACTTTTGATCAACATTCTATATGTAATATTTTTTCTGTGTGAACAGGATAAGTTAGATATCCCATGTTTCAGGACTTTGGTAGGATGGATTGTTTATAGAAATATACATGATGTACATGTACTTGAATTTACTTTTAACAATGATATTACCTGGAACATAACAAATAAAAGAACAATTGTATTATAAGTGAAACTGTTGGTTTGTCTTTCTTTGATCTTGTATTGTGAATTTTCAGTAATCCCATATTTTTTGTGAAAAAAAGTTTGCTTTCAAGATTGTTACAATAAATCAATTATGGATCTTTGAATTTCAGACAAGAACATTCACAATAGGTGCTGCTGACTTTGTATGGTACACACATTCACAATAGGTGCTGCTGACTTTGTATGGTACACACATTCACAATAGGTGCTGCTGACTTTGTATGGTACACACAATAGGTGCTGCTGACTGTGTATGGTACAAACATTCACAATAGGTGCTGCTGACTTTGTATGGTACACACAATAGGTGAAGCTGACTTTGTATGGTACACACATTCACAATAGGTGCTGCTGACTTTGTATGGTACACACATCCACAATAGCTACTGCTGACTTTGTATGGTACACACAATCGGTGCTGCTGACTTTGTATGGTACACACATCCACAATAGGTGCTGTTGACTTTGTATGGTACACACATTCACTATAGGTGCTGCTGACTTTGTATGGTACAGACAATAGGTGCTGCTGACTGTGTATGGTACACACAATAGTTGCTGCTGACTTTGTATGGTACACACAATAGGTGCTGCTGACTTTTTATGGTACACACATTCACAATAGGTGCGGCTGACTTTGTATGGTACACACATTCAAAATAGGTACTGCTGACTTTATATGGTACACACAGAATAGGTGCTGCTGACTTTGTATGGTAGACACATTCACAATAGGTGCTGCTGACTTTGTATAGGACACACATCCACAATAGGTGCTGCTGACTGTGTATGGTACAAACATTCACAATAGGGGCTGCTGACTTTGTATGGTACACACATACACAATAGGTGCTGCTGACTTTGTATGGCACACACATTCACAATAGGTGCTGCTGACGGTGTATGGTACAAACATTCACAATAGGTGCTGCTGACTTTGTATGCTACACACAATAGGTGAAGCTGCCTTTGTATGGTACACACATTCACTGACTTTGTATGGTACACACAATAGGTGAAGCTGACATTGTATGGTACACACATTCACAATAGGCGCTGCTGACTGTATGGTACACACATTCACAATAGGTTCTGCTGACTTTGTATGGTACACACAATAGCTGAAGCTGACTTTGTATGGTACACACATTCAAAATAGGTACTGCTGACTTTATATGGTACACACAGAATAGGTGCTGCTGACTTTGTATGGTACAAACATTCACAATAGGTGCTGCTGACTGTATGGTACACACAATAGGTGCTGCTGACTTTTTATGGTACACACATTCACAATAGGTACTGCTAACTTTATATGGTACACACAGTCACAATAGGCGCTGCTGACTTTGTATGGTACACACAATAGCTGCTGCTGACTTTGTATGGTACACACATCCACAATAGCTACTGCTGACTTTGTATGGTACACACATCCACAATAGCTACTGCTGACTTTGTATGGTACACACAATAGCTGCTGCTGACTTTGTATGGTACACACATTCACAATAGGTACTGCTGACTTTATATGGTACACACAGTCACAATAGGTGCTGCTGACTTTGTATGGTACACACAATAGGTGCTGCTGACTTAGTATGGTACACACATTCACAATAGGTGCTGCTGACTATGTATGGTACACACATTCACAATAGGTGCTGCTGCCTTTGTATGGTACACACATTCACAATAGGTGCTGTTGACTTTGTATGGTACACACATTCACTATAGGTGCTGCTGACTTTGTATGGTACACACATCCACAATAGGTGCTGCTGACTGTGTGTGTATGGTACACACATTCACAATAGGTGCTGCTGCCTTTGTATTGTACACACATTCACAATAGGTGCTGCTGACTTTGTATGGTACACACATTCACAATAGGTGCTGCTGACTTTGTATGGTACACACATTCACAATAGGTGCTGCTGACTTTGTATGGTACACACATTCACAATAGGTGCTGCTGACTTTGTATGGTACACACATTCACAATAGGTGCTGCTGACTTTGTATGGTACACACATTCACAATAGGTGCTGCTGACTTTGTATGGTACACACATTCACAATAGGTGCTGCTGACTTTGTATGGTACACACATTCACAATAGGTGCTGCTGACTTTGTATGGTACACACATTCACAATAGGTGCTGCTGACTTTGTATGGTACACACATTCACAATAGGTGCTGCTGACTTTGTATGGTACACACATTCACAATAGGTGCTGCTGACTTTGTATGGTACACACATTCACAATAGGTGCTGCTGACTTTGTATGGTACACACATTCACAATAGGTGCTGCTGACTTTGTATGGTACACACATTCACAATAGGTGCTGCTGACTTTGTATGGTACACACATTCACAATAGGTGCTGCTGACTTTGTATGGTACACACATTCACAATAGGTGCTGCTGACTTTGTATGGTACACACATTCACAATAGGTGCTGCTGACTTTGTATGGTACACACATTCACAATAGGTGCTGCTGACTATGTATGGTACACACATTCACAATAGGTGCTGCTGACTGTGTATGGTACACACATTCACAATAGATGCTGCTGCCTTTGTATGGTACACACATCCACAATAGCTGCTGCTGACTTTGTATGGTACACACATCCACAATAGGTGCTGCTGACTGTGTATGGTACACACAATAGGTGCTGCTGACTATGTATGGTACACACATTCACAATAGGTGCTGCTGACTGTGTATGGTACACACATTCACAATAGGTGCTGCTGCCTTTGTATGGTACACACATCCACAATAGCTACTGCTGACTTTGTAAGGTACACACATCCACAATAGGTGCTGCTGACTGTGTATGGTACACACAATAGGTGCTGCTGACTTTGTATGGTACACACATTCACAATAGGTGCTGCTGACTGTATGGTACACACATTCACAATAGGTGCTGCTGCCTTTGTATGGTACACACATTCACAATAGGTGCTGATGACTTTGTATGGTAACTACATTCACAATAGGTGCTGCTGACTTTGTTTAGTAAGTCATAAGTAAGGATACATTTCTGTGGAATTTTGAGTAGAAATGGCATTGTTGAAGGTATCTGACGAGTCATTCAACTTTTTACATTGTTTATTTTTGGTAATATTTATACTTGTAGTCACCGTTCTGTACGTTCTTATTAATTCAACTTATTTACACAGTAAGAAATGATTGGTGAAATCTACTGAAGACCGAGATGAAAAACTTCACATAATTCGCACAAATGTAATGTTTTTATGATGGGGTTGTCACGTTTGGGCACAAAAATACGCTTTACAGATGATGCAAATGTAAATATTACCGACAATAAGCTGTGTAAAAAGTTCAATGACAGCCAATAGAATCCTCGATACGCCAGGGGTTACGTTCACTTACCGTCACCGCACCCCTGGAATATGTCATGACGGAAAAAGGCTCTGAACTCACCACCTGGTGGACGAGATAAGAAGACTGTTTTGATCCTTTGATGAATGTACATCAAAAGAATCTCTTGTCCGCAAAATTGTAAAATTCACTTTTCATTCGAGTGTGGTTCTTGTGTAATCGTCACAGGACAGGTAAATAACAGCCAAGCGATTGGTCAGCTTATTTTTATCTGAAGCCAATCAAATAGTTATCTCCCGCCTTACATTTTGCAATGACATATTCCAGGGGTGCTGAGAGCAAAAGTGAACGTTACCCATGGAGTATCGAGGATGAGGGAACACCTTCAGCGATATCATTTCTACCTCAAATGGTTAGTCGTTAAACTGAAATAAGACAATTGCTCTTGTTATTCTTGATTATCCTAATAAGTCTTCTAAGGAAAATGTTCCAAGTACTTGACATTGTGCCTGTTACACTTCGCATACAAATTCAGAGAGCCGTATTAATATATAAAACATTAAATAATCTCACTCCAAACTACCTCACAAGGATGTTCGAGTTTTGTCAAATGACACATGAACACAATTCTCGATCATCTACTGCAAATAATTTATTCATATGTCGTCCCAACTCCGAACTGTTTAAATCACATAGAACGCACATCATATCATACCTGATGTGAGGCTGGTCTATCACGGCTTGTCTATTCAGAAAAATACTTATTTCACTTCACAAGGATTAATAAAATAATGAGTTAACACGTGGTGTTTCCAATTAGGGTTTATTAAAACAAAATCCGGTTCATCTAGTCATCATGATGACGTAATATAGGACAATACATCGATGATAAACAGTTCGTTACTAACATTAATTACTACAGACTTATTGTAATTTCTACGTTTCGTTGTTCCACAATTCCTACTTGTATACCCCGGTATATCGAAAAACCGCTTAAGAGCATACAGACGGCGACAGTAACACGGAGATTTACTGTTGAACAATCTGTCTGATAGAAGATGTCAAGTGATAACATGCACATATATATATATATATAAATGTATCCGTAGGTAGCGTCGGACCCCTATACAACACATGGGAGTCCAACACAAACGATGTTTTCAAAATGATCAAAATAACTGAAGGGCACACACTATAGTTGTGTACGTACAGTAAAATATGCCACATTTCTCCTTCACTCTTCAGTGAATTATACGATATCGTTTTTCTCTCCAACTGTAACGACATATGCGGCACGTTTTGTTTTAATCCTTCTTGTGCAGGCGCACAGTCGTCTAGTCACAATGGTCGATTCCTCACATCCCATTTCCTTGTCATTATTCGGCATGTATCACTTTTTGCATATCATGTCGACGAATTCTACAAAGTGAAACACAATTGACATTAACGTTACTGTAAGTATGACACGTAGGCCGACCCATTAACGTTACTGTAAGTATGACACGGAGGCCGACCCATTAACGTTACTGTAAGTGTGACACGGAGGCCGACCCACTAACGTTAATGTAAGAATGACACGGAGGCCGACCCATTAACGTTACTGTAAGTATGACACGGATCCCGACCCACTTACGTTACTGTAAGTATGACACGGATCCCGAGCCATTAACGTTACTGTAAGTATGACACTGAGGCAGACCCATTAACGTTACTGTAAGTATGACACGGATCCCGACCCACTAACGTTACTGTAAGTATGACACGGAGGTATGACACGGAGGCCGACCCACTAACGTTAATGTAAGTATGACACGGAGGCCGACCCATTAACGTTCCTGTAAGTATGACACGGAGGCCGACCCATTAGCGTTACTGTAAGTATGACACGGAGGCCGACCTATTAACGTTACTGTAAGTATGACACGGAGGCCGATCCACTAACGTTACTGTAAGTATGACACGGATCCCGCCCCACTAACGTTACTGTAAGTATGACACGGAGCCCGACCCATTAACTTTACTGTAAGTATGACACGGAGGCCGACCCAGTAACGTTACTGTAAGTATGACACGGAGGCAGCCCCACTAACGTTACTGTAAGTATGACACGGAGGCCCACCCACTAACGTTACTGTAAGTATGACACGGATCCCGCCCCACTAACGTTACTGTAAGTATGACACGGAGGCCCACCCACTAACGTTACTGTAAGTATGACACGGATCCCGACCCACTAACGTACTGTAAGTATGACACGGAGGCCGACCCATTAGCGTTACTGTAAGTATGACACGGAGGCCGACCCAGTAACGTTACTGTAAGTATGACACGGAGGCAGCCCCACTAACGTTACTGTAAGTATGACACGGAGGCCGATCCACTAACGTTACTGTAAGTATGACACGGATCCCGACCCATTAACGTTACTGTAAGAATGACACGGAGGCCGACCCACTAGCGTTACTGTAAGTACGACACGGATCCCGACCCACTAACGTTCCTGTAAGTATGACACGGAGGCCGACCATTAACGTAACTGTAAGTATGACACGGAGGCCGACCCACTAACGTTACTGTCAGTATGACACGGACGCCGACCCACTAACGTTACTGTAAGTATGACACGGAGGCCGACCCATTAACGTTACTATAAGTATGACACGGAGGCCGACCCATTCACATTACTGCAAGTATGACACGGAGGCAGCCCCACTAACGTTACTGTAAGTATGACACGAAGGTATGACACGGAGGCCGACCCACTAACGGTACTGTAAGGATGACACGGAGGCCGACCCATTAACGTTACTATAAGTATGACACGGAGGCCGACCCATTCACATTACTGCAAGTATGACACGGAGGCAGCCCCACTAACGTTACTGTAAGTATGACAAGGAGGCCGACCCATTAACGTTACTGTAAGTATGACACGGAGGCCGACCCATTCACATTACTGTAAGTATGACACGGAGGCAGACCCACTAACGTTACTGTAAGTATGACACGGAGGCCGACCCATTAACGTTACTGTAAGTATGACACGGAGGCCGTCCCATTCACATTACTGTAAGTATGACACGGAGGCCGACCCATTAACGTAACTGTAAGTATGACACGGGGGCCAACCCATTAACGTTACTGTAAGTATGACACGGAGGCAGACCCATTAACGTGACTGTAAGTATGACACGGAGGCAGACCCACTAACGTTACTGTAAGTATGACACGGAGGCCGACCCATTATTGTTACTGTAAGTATGACACGGAGGCAGACCCATTAACGTTACTGTAATTATGACACGGAGGCCGACCCATTAACGTTACTGTAAGTATGACACGGAGGCAGACCCACTAACGTTACTGTAAGTATGACACGAAAGCAGACCCACTAACGTTACTGTAAGTATGACACGGATCCCGACCCACTAACGTTACTGTAAGTATGACACGGAGGCCGACCCACTAACGTTAATGTAAGTATGACACGGAGGCCGCCCCACTAACGTTACTGTAAGTATGACACGGAGGGATGACACGGAGGCCGACCCACTAACGTTACTGTAAGTATGACACGGAGGCAGACCCATTAACTTTACTGTAAGTATGACACGGAGGCCGACCCACTAACGTTACTGTAAGTATGACACGGAGGTATGACCCATTAACGTTAATGTAAGTATGACACGGAGGCCGACCCACTAACGTTACTGTAAGTATGACACGGATCCCGACCCACTAACGTTACTGTAAGTATGACACGGAGGTATGACACGGAGGCCGACCCACTATCTCACTTCATGTTGTATTAAGTGACTACAGAATCCAAATTTGTTTCTGTGTCCGTCTGCTTTGGGGGTCATTGATGAACAGAAACAAATAAATAAGTAAATGATACTGAAACAATCTTGCTTCCACCAAGAATTTCTCTATCGACATCACCTATGTACTCTAAACCTTTGGATCTTCTCCATGAACCAAGTTGTTGAGAGACCTGGTACGTTTGAAGACGTTAATGCGGTTTCGGTTTTTTCATTTAATTTATCCCTGCGTGGAAAAAATATGGAGTAAATAAAAAAAGGGTCTGATACAAAATCCAATAAATCTCCCTGTTGGAGCTGTGTTTTATTACACAACACGTCATATCATCGCCACGACTTCGTATTAGAATCATGTTCTTGGTTAAAATCTTATGCCTCTGTTAACGTAATTTTTGACGACAAATATTTCATCGAAATCCACGAAACTGCAGTTTCTCAGTTGAGTATACCTTTTCGAAAGTAATTAAACTATCCCATGCGTTCACAATAAGGCTTACTCAGTGTCACGTGACCGAATCTTAAGTGTCAGGCTGGTAACCTGTACCAAATGCGACATGAATCATGTTGGTCATGACGTCGTCGATGCAAGACGGGACGCCATTTTACAGTAACCATGGTGACTTACTTTTTACAGTAATTAACTTGGTGGCTTATATTAGAGTAACTAAACTTACCTTCGTAATTCACCTGATCGTAAACATGGTTTCCATGGTAATTAATATTACAGTAATCAATTTTAACATCGTAGGTTATCTTACTGCAATTCAGCTTAACCCGGTAACTGATCTTACTGTCTTACTGCAACCAAACGTACTATCGTTGCTTTTTTACTGTATTCATGCTGACTCTAGTAGCTTGCACTGCAGTAGTTAAATTTACCATGGTAGCTTAAAACACAGTATCCAGGCTTGCCCTGACAGTTTGTGTTACAGTAACAAGGCTTACCCTGACAGTTTGTGTTACAGTAACAAAGCTTACCCTGACAGTTTGTGTTACAGTAACAAAGCTAACCCTGACAGTTTGTGTTACAGAAACAAAGCTTACCCTGACAGTTCGTGTTACAGTTACAAAGCTTACCCTGACAGTTTGTGTTACAGAAACAAAGCTTACCCTGACAGTTCGTGTTACAGTAACAAAGCTTACCCTGACAGTTTGTGTTACAGTAATAAAGCTTACCCTGACAGTTTGTGTTACAGTAACAAGGCTTAACCTGACAGTTTGTATTATAGAAACAAGGCTTACCCTGACAGTTTGTGTTACAGTAACAAAGCTTCCCCTGACAGTTTGTGTTACAGTAACAAAGCTTACCCTGACAGTTCGTGTTACAGTAACAAAGCTTTACCTGATAGTTCGTGTTACAGTAACAAGGCTTACTCTGACAGTTTGTGTTACAGTAACAAATCATACCCTGACAGTTCGTGTTACAGTAACAAAGCTTACCCTGACAGTTCGTGTTACAGTAACAAAGCTTTACCTGATAGTTCGTGTTACAGTAACAAGGCTTATTCTGACAGTTTGTGTTACAGTAACAAATCATACCCTGACAGTTCGTGTTACAGTAACAAAGCTTACCCTGACAGTTTGTGTTACAGTAACAAAGCTTCCCCTGACAGTTTATGTAACAGTAACAAAGCTTACCCTGACAGTTTGTGTTACAGTAATAAAGCTTACACTGACAGTTTGTGTTACAGTAACAAAGCTTACCCTGACATTTTATGTTACAGTAACAAAGCTTACCATGACAGTTTGTGTTACAGTAACAAAGCTTCCCCTGACAGTTTGTGTTACAGTAACAAGGCTTCCCCTGACAGTTTGTGTTACAGTAACAAAGCTTTACATGACAGTTCGTGTTACAGTAACAAAGCTTTACCTGACAGTTCGTGTTACAGTAACAAGGCTTACCCTGACAGTTTGTGATACAGTAACAAAGCATACCCTGACAGTTCGTGTTACAGTAACAAAGCTTACCCCGACAGTTTGCGTTACAGTAATAAAGCTTACACTGACAGTTTGTGTTACAGTAACAAAGCTTTACCTGATAGTTCGTGTTACAGTAACAAGGCTTATTCTGACAGTTTGTGTTACATTAACAATTCATACGCTGACAGTTCGTGTTACAGTAACAAAGCTTTCCCTGACAGTTCGTGTTACAGTAACAAGGCTTACCCTGACAGTTTGTGTTACAGTAACAAAGCATACCCTGACAGTTCGTGTTACAGTAACAAAGCTTACCCTGACAGTTTGTGCTACAGTAACAAAACTTACCCTGACAGTTTGTGTTACAGTAACAAAACTTACCCTGACAGTTTGTGTAACAGTAACAAAGCTTACCCTGACAGTTCGTGTTACAGTAACAAAGCTTCCCCTGACAGTTTGTGTTACAGTAACAAAGCATACCCTGACAGTTCGTGTTACAGTAACAAAGCTTACCCTGACATTTTATATTACAGTAACAAAGCTTACCTTGACAGTTTGTGTTACAGTAATAAAGCTTTCCCTGACAGTTCGTGTTACAGTAAAAAGGCTTACCCTGACAGTTCGTGATACAGTAACAAAGCTTATCCTGACAGTTTGTGTTACAGTAACAAAGCTTTCCCTGACAGTTCGTGTTACAGTAAAAAGGCTTACCCTGACAGTTCGTGATACAGTAACAAAGCTTATCCTGACAGTTTGTGTTACAGTAGCAAAGCTTACCCTGACAGTTTGTGTTACAGTAACAAAGCTTACCCTGCCAGTTTGTGTTACAGTAACAAAGCTTACCCTGCCAGTTTGTGTTACAGTAACAAAGCTTACCCTGCCAGTTTGTGTTACAGTAACAAAGCTTACCCTCACAGTTTGTGTTACAGTAACAAAGCTTTACCTGACAGTTTGTGTTACAGTAACAAAGCTTTACCTGACAGTTTGTGTTACAGTAACAAAGCTTTACCTGATAGTTAGTGTTACAGTAACAAAGCTTACCCTGACAGTTTGTGTTACAGTAGCAAAGCTTACCCTGACAGTTTGTGTTACAGTAACAAAGCTTACCCTGACAGTTTGTGTTACAGTATCCAGTCTTACCCGGACAGTTTGTGTTACAGTAACAAAGCTTTCCCTGACAGTTTGTGTTACAGTAACAAAGCTTACCCTGACAGTTTGTGTTACAGTAACAAAGCTTACCCTGACAGTTCGTGTTACAGTAACAAAGCTTACCCTGACAGTTTGTGTTACAGTAACAAAGCTTACCCTGACAGTTTGTGTAACAGTAACAAAGCTTTACTTGACAGTTTGTGTTACAGTAACAAAGCTTTACCTGATAGTTCGTGTTACAGTAACAAAGCTTACCCTGACAGTTCGTGTTACAGTATCCAGGCTTACCCTGACAGTTTGTATTACAGTAACAAAGCTTTACCTGATAGTTTGTGTTACAGTAACAAATCTTACCCCCGTAACTTATCTTCCCGTCTTTGTTGGTATCAGCTTCCTGCAGGAGTTCCTCAGCTTCCTGTTCCGCCATTTTATCCCCGGCTGCTGTGAGTATTTTCTTCAGCTCAGCCTTGGAAATGAACCCATCTCCATCCAAATCAAACATTTTAAACGATTCTCTCATTAGTTTTTCTTCGTATTCCTTTACCGAAATTGATCTCATCATGACTTTCTCAAATTCGCTGAAGCTAACATAGCCATCCTCTGTAAATAAACAAGACACCTACAGTCTGTGTGAGTTAATATGGCTATACATATGGGAGGTAGTCCGAAGACCAGAAGCCTCAGGATGGTAGCACAATGTTATCTAGTCCGAATTATTCTGAAATTTTACCCATTTTTTTTTATATCGGTCTGTCGTCGATTTACCGACGACAGACCGATATAAAAAAGTCGATAAAACGTCAGAATAATTCGGACTAAATGTTGTCTATCAGGCTTGAGCTAAGACACATATCAAAGGGTTTTTCTGTCTGCCGATGTCAGCAAGATGTCCAAGACCAGTGAATGTAACATAAAATAAGATCGAAAACGTCCATTATTGTAAGGGATCTTCTGGAGATCTGTTATCGTACACTGATTGACACTGACTGAGTGTCCGCACGATTCTTGTGTTTTTCACTATAATATTTTTATTCATATTTTTGCTAATTTGAACCATACTGTTTTTTAGGTGTGTGGGAATAGTTGTTCAGGTCACATGGTGTAATGGTCACGCGATTACAATGACACCTAACGAGTCCTATTAATTAGAACTACCTCATTATGTAATTTATACATTGGGTTGTGTAATTAAACATAATACAGGTATTTACCGCAACACAATGACTCGTTCTATTTGACCATTTATACCTAACCATTAGCTGTATCATACTTTACATACAGGTACATTTCTGTTGGTTTAAATTTAACCCAGAAGCACTAGTATGTTTGTTGATATCTTACTGTCCTCGTCGACAGGTTCCATTATTTGGTCGAACTCCTGCTTTGTCGGGTGTGACCCCATGCATCGTACTGCACGTAATATCTCGTGTCGGGAAATCTTTTGGTCTCCGTTCACATCGAAATGGGAGAAGATCTTCTTGATATCTGTAAAATATCGACCTCTATAAACCCACAAAATGACCCGCAGGTACTAACCTCATCTTTCAGTACTATATAGTCTCACATGTACTATCCTCGTCTGTTAATACTGGTCTCACAGGTATAATTGCCTCGTCTGTCAGTTCTAGTCTCGCAAGTATACTTGCCTCGTGTGTCAGTTCTAGTCTCACAGGTATACTAGCCTCGTCTGTTAATACTGGTCTCACATGTACTAGCCTTGTCTGTTAATACTGGTCTCACATGTACTAGCCTCGTCTGTTAATATACTGGTCTCACATGTATACTAGCCTTGTCTGTTAATACTAGTCTCACATGTACTAGCCTCGTCTGTTAATACTGGTCTCACATGTACTAGCCTCGTCTGTTAATACTGGTCTCACATGTACTAGCCTTATCTGTTAATACTGGTCTCACAGGTATCCTAGCCTTGTCTGTTAATATACTGGTCTCACATGTACTAGCCTCGTCTGTTAATACTGGTCTCACATGTATACTAGCCTTGTCTGTTAATACTGGTCACACATGTACTAGCCTCGTCTGTTAATACTGGTCTCACAGGTATCCTAGCCTTGTCTGTTAATACTGGTCTCACATGTACTAGCCTCGTCTGGTAATACTGGTCTCACATGTACTAGCTTAGTCTGTTAATACTGGTCTCACATGTACTAGGCTCGTCTGTTAATACTGGTCTCACATGTATTCTAGCCTCGTCTGTTAATTCTGGTCTCACATGTATACTAGCCTCGTCTGTTAATACGGGTCTCACATGTATACTAGGCTCGTCTGTTAATACTGGGCTCACATGTACTAGCCTCGTCTGTTAATACTCGTCTCCCATGTATACTAGCCTTGTCTGTTAATACTAGTCTCACATGTACTAGCCTCGTCTGTTAATGCTGGGCCTCACAGGTATACTAGCCTCGTCTGTTAATACTGGTGTCACATGTATACTAGCCTTGTCTGTTAATTCTGGTCTCACATGTACTAGCTTAGTCTGTTAATACTGGTCGCACATGTACTAGCCTCGTCTGTTAATACTCGTCTCCCATGTATACTAGCCTTGTCTGTTAATACTGGTCCCACATGTACTAGCCTCGCCTGTTAATACTGGTCTCACATGTACTAGCCTCGTCTGTTAATGCTTGGTCTCACAGGTATACTAGCCTCGTCTGTTAATACTGGTCTCACATGTACTAGCCTCGTCTGTTAATACTGGTCTCACAGGTATACTAGCCTCGTCTGTCAATTCTAGTCTCACATGTATACTAGCCCCGTCTGTCAATTCTAGTCTTACATGTATACTAACCTCGTCTGTCAGTACTCGTCTCTAATGTCCTAACATCGTCTGTTAATACAACTATAATAATAACCTGATTACGTCATAGGTTTATTGACAGACGAGGCCTAGTACCTGTGTTTCAACTTAAACCCAATGTTTAAAGTCTCTTTGTCTCAATAGTGTCATTTGTACGGAATACCGACACGCATATAATCTGTCCCTACAATAACACCAAGGTTAGATTTTGGCAGCACATTAGCAGTCGTTGTTGAGACAATAATATAGGATAGAGTGTTGCTCTGTAGTCCAGCCATAACATAACTTGAGGTGGCGGCAATCCAACATATATATTGTTTGGTTGTTACAAAAGAGTTGCATAATTTAAATAAAGTAAATATAAACACTGAATATTTACAGTAAAACCTCGTTCTACTATCGCCATCTGTTTCACAAGGTGACCTCTTTATAAAATGAGTTGACGATATATGACAGAGAAGTCTAAAGGGAAGGGGAATCATGGAATGTGTTCACTGTGAACTAGGTGGGGAACCAAGGAATGTGTTCACTGTGAACTAGGTGGGGAATCAATACAATTGTTCACTGTGAACTAGGTGGGGAATCAATACAATTGTTCACTGTGAACTAGGTGGGGAATAAAGGAATGTGTTCACTGTGAACTAGGTGGCGAACCAAGGAATGTGTTCACCGTGAACTAGGTGGTGAACAAAGGAATGTGTTCACTGTGAACTAGGCGGGGAACCAAGGAATGTGTTCACTGTGAACGAGGTTGGGAACCAATACAATGTGAACGAGGTTGGGAACCATGAAATGTGTTCACTGTGAATTTGTTGGGGAACAAAGGAATGTGTTCATTGTGAACTAGGTGGGGAACCAATGCATGTGTTCACTGTGAACTAGGTGGGGAACCAAGGAATGTGTTCACTGTGAACGAGGTTGGGAACCAATACACTGTGAACGAGGTTGGGATCCATGAAATGTGTTCACTGTGAATTTGGTGGGGAACAAAGGAATGTGTTCACTTTGAGCTAGTCGGGGAACCAAGGAATGTGTTCACTGTGAACGAGGTTGGGAACCAATACAATGTGAACGAGGTTGGGAACTATGAAATGTGTTCACTGTGAATTTGTTGGGGAACAAAGGAATGTGTTCATTCTGAACTAGGTGGGGAACCAATGCATGTGTTCACTGTGAACTAGGTGGGGAACAAAGTAATGTGTTCACTGTGAACTAGGTGGGTAACCAAAGAATGTGTTCACTGTAAACAAGGTGGGGAACCAATGCACGTGTTCATTGTGAACGAGGTTGGGAACCATGGAATGTGTTCACTGTGAACTAGGTGGGGAACAATGGAATGTGTTCATGAACTAGGTGGGGAACCAAGGAATGTGTTCACTGTGAACTAGGCGGGGAACCAAGGAATGTGTTCACTATGAACTAGGCTGGGAACAAAGTAATGTGTCCACTGTGAACTAGGTGGGTAACCAAAGAATGTGTTCAAACCAATGCATGTGTTCACTGTGAACTAGGTGGGGATCAAAGTAATGTGTTCACTGTGAACTAGGTGGGTAACCAAAGAATGTGTTCACTGTGAACAAGGTGGGGACCCAACGCACGTGTTCATTGTGAACGAGGTTGGGAACCATGGAATGCGTTCACTGTGAACTGGGTGGGGAACAAAGGAATGTGTTCACTGTGAACTAGGTGGGGAACAAAGGAAGAATGTGTTCACTGTGAACTAGGTGGGGAACAATGGAATGTGTTCATGAACTAGGTGGGGAACCAAGGAATGTGTTCACTTTGAACTAGGTGGGGAACCATGAAATGTGTTTACTGTGAACTAGGTGGGGAACAAAGTAATGTGTCAACTGTGAACTAGGTGGGGAACCAAGGAATGTGTCCACTGTGAAATAGGTGGGGAACCAAGGAAAGTGTTCACTGTGAACGAGGTTGGAACCATGAAATGTGTTTACTGTGAACTAGGTGGGGAACAAAGTAATGTGTCAACTGTGAACTAGGTGGGGAACCAAGGAATGTGTCCACTGTGAACTAGGTGGAGAACCAAGGAAAGTGTTCACTGTGAACGAGGTTGGAACCATGAAATGTGTTTACTGTGAACTAGGTGGGGAACAAAGTAATGTGTTCACTGTGAACTAGGTGGGTAACCAAAGAATGTGTTCAAACCAATGCATGTGTTCACTGTGAACTAGGTGGGGAATCAATGAAAGTGTTTACTGCTAATGCAGTGGGGATGCAATGAATGTGTTCACTGTGAACTAGGTGGGGAACCAAGCAATGTGTTCACTGTGAACGAGGTTGGGGACCAATACACTGTGAACGAGGTTGGGAACCATGAAATGTGTTTACTGTGAACTAGGTGGGGAACAAAGTAATGTGTCAACTGTGAACTAGGTGGGGAACCAAGGAATGTGTTCACCACTGTGAACTAGGTGGGGAACAAAGTAATGTGTTCACTGTGAACTAGGTGGGGAACCAAGGAATGTGTTCACTGTGAACGAGGTTGGGCACCAATACACTGTGAACGAGGTTGGGAACCATGAAATGTGTTCACTGTAAATTTGGTGGGGAACAAAGGAATGTGTTCACTGTGAACTAGGTGGGTAACCAAAGACTGTGTTCACTGTGAACTAGGTGGGGAACCAATGAATGTGTTCATTGTGAACGAGGTGGGGAACCATGGAATGTATCCACTGTCAACTAGGTGGGGAACCAAGGAATGTGTTCACTGTGAACTAGGTGGGGAACAATGGAATGTGTTCATGAACTAGGTGGGGAACCAAGGAATGTGTTCACTGTGAACTAGGCGGGGAACCAAGGAATGTGTTCACTATGAACTAGGCTGGGAACAAAGTAATGTGTCCACTGTGAACTAGGTGGGTAACCAAAGAATGTGTTCACTGTGAACAAGGTGGGGACCCAACGCACGTGTTCATTGTGAACGAGGTTGGGAACCATGGAATGCGTTCACTGTGAACTGGGTGGGGAACAAAGGAATGTGTTCACTGTGAACTAGGTGGGTAACCAATGCATGTGTTCATTGTGAACGAGGTGGGGAACCATGGAATCTGTCCACTGTCAACTAGGTGGGGAACCAAGGAAAAAGTAATGTGTCCACTGTCAACTAGGTGGGGAACCAAGGAATGTGTTCACTGTGAACTAGGTGGGGAACAATGGAATGTGTTCATGAACTAGGTGGGGAACCAAGGAATGTGTTCACTTTGAACTAGGCGGGGAACCAAGGAATGTGTTCACTGTGAACTAGGCTGGGAACAAAGTAATGTGTCCACTGTGAACTAGGGGGGGAACCAAGGAATGTGTTCACTTTGAACTAGGTGGGGAACCATGAAATGTGTTTACTGTGAACTAGGTGGGGAACAAAGTAATGTGTCAACTGTGAACTAGGTGGGGAACCAAGGAATGTGTTCACCACTGTGAACTAGGTGGGGAACAAAGTAATGTGTCAACTGTGAACTAGGTGGGGAACCAAGGAATGTGTTCACCACTGTGAACTAGGTGGGGAACAAAGTAATGTGTCAACTGTGAACTAGGTGGGGAACCAAGGAATGTGTCCACTGTGAACTAGGTGGAGAACCAAGGAAAGTGTTCACTGTGAACGAGGTTGGAACCATGAAATGTGTTTACTGTGAACTAGGTGGGGAACAAAGTAATGTGTCAACTGTGAACTAGGTGGGGAACCAAGGAATGTGTCCACTGTGAACTAGGTGGAGAACCAAGGAAAGTGTTCACTGTGAACGAGGTTGGGATGAACTAGGTGGGTAACAAAGTAATGTGTCCACTGTGAACTAGGTGGGTAACCAAAGAATGTGTTCAAACCAATGCATGTGTTCACTGTGAACTAGGTGGGGAACAAAGGAAGAATGTGTTCACTGTGAACTAGGTGGGGAACAATGGAATGTGTTCATGAACTAGGTGGGGAACCAAGGAATGTGTTCACTATGAACTAGGCTGGGAACAAAGTAATGTGTCCACTGTGAACTAGGGGGGGAACCAAGGAATGTGTTCACTTTGAACTAGGTGGGGAACCAAGGAATGTGTCCACTGTGAACTAGGTGGGGAACCAAGGAATGTGTTCACTATGAACTAGGCTGGGAACAAAGTAATGTGTCCACTGTGAACTAGGTGGGTAACCAAAGAATGTGTTCAAACCAATGCATGTGTTCACTGTGAACTAGGTGGGGAACCAAGGAATGTGTTCACTTTGAACTAGGCGGGGAACCAAGGAATGTGTTCACTATGAACTAGGCTGGGAACAAAGTAATGTGTCCACTGTGAACTAGGTGGGTAACCAAAGAATGTGTTCACTGTGAACAAGGTGGGGAACCAATGCACGTGTTCATTGTGAACGAGGTTGGGGAACAAAGGAATGTGTTCATTGTGAACTAGGTTGGGAACCATTGCATGTGTTCACTGTGAACTAGGTGGGGAACCAAGCAATGTGTTCACTGTGAACGAGGTTGGGGACCAATACACTGTGAACGAGGTTGGGAACCATGAAATGTGTTCACTGTAAATTTGGTGGGGAACAAAGGAATGTGTTCATTGTGAACTAGGTTGGGAACCAATGCATGTGTTCACTGTGAACTAGGTGGGGAACCAAGGAATGTGTTCACTGTGAACTAGGTGGGTAACCAAAGAATGCGTTCACTGTGAACTAGGTGGGGAATCAATGCAATTGTTCACTGTGAACTAGGTGGGGAACAAAGTAATGTGTCCACTGTGAACTAGGTGGGGAACCAAGCAATGTGTTCACTGTGAACGAGGTTGGGGACCAATACACTGTGAACGAGGTTGGGAACCATAAAATGTGTTTACTGTGAACTAGGTGGGGAACAAAGTAATGTGTCCACTGTGAACTAGGTGGGACACCAAGGAATGTGTTCACTGTGAACTAGGTGGGTAACCAAAGAATGTGTTCACTGTGAACTAGGTGGGGAACCAATGCACGTGTTCATTGTGAACGAGGTTGGCAACCATGGAATGTGTTCACTGTGAACTAGGTGGGTAACCAAAGAATGCGTTCACTGTGAACTAGGTGGGGAACCAATGCATGTGTTCATTGTGAACTAGGTGGGCAACCATGGAATGTGTTCACTGTGAACTAGGTGGAGAACCAATGCAAGTGTTCACTGTGAACTAGGTTGGAAACCCAGGAATGTGTTCACAGTGAACTAGGTGGGGAATCAATGCAATTGTTCACTGTGAACTAGGTGGGGAATCAATGAAAGTGTTTACTGCTAATGCAGTGGGGATGCAATGAATGTGTTCACTTTGAACTAGGTGGGGAACCAAGGAATGTGTCCACTGTGAACTAGGTGGAGAACCAAGGAAAGTGTTCACTGTGAACGAGGTTGGGAACCATGAAATGTGTTTACTGTGAACTAGGTGGGGAACAAAGGAATGTGTTCACTGTGAACTAGGTGGGGAACCAAAGAATGTGTTAACTGTGAACTTGGTGGGGAACCAATGCACGTGTTCATTGTGAACGGGGTTGGGAACCATGGAATGTGTTCACTGTGAACTAGGTGGGGAACAATGGAATGTGTTCACTGTAAACTAGGTGGGGAACCAATGCATGTGTTCATTGTGAACGAGGTGGGGAACCATGGAATGTATCCACTGTGAACTAGGTGGGGAACCAAGGAATGTGTTCACTGTGAACGAGGTTGGGAACCAATACACTGTGAACGAGGTTTGGAACCATGAAATGTGTTCACTGTGAATTTGGTGGGGAACAAAGGAATGTGTTCACTTTGAGCTAGGCGGGGAACCAAGGAATGTGTTCACTGTGAACTAGGCTGGGAACAAAGTAATGTGTCCACTGTGAACTAGGTGGGGAACCAAGGAATGTGTTCACTGTGAACTAGGTTGGGAACTATGAAATATGTTTACTGTGAACTAGGTGGGGAACAAAGTAATGTGTCCACTGTGAACTAGGTGGGGAACCAAAGAATGTGTTCACTGTGAACTAGGTGGGGAACCAAGGAAAGTGTTCATTGTGAACTAGGTGGGGAACCAAGGAAAGTGTTCACTGTGAACGAGGTTGGGAACCATGAAATGTGTTTACTGTGAACTAGGTGGGGAACAAAGTAATGTGTCCACTGTGAGCTAGGTGGGGAACCAAAGAATGTGTTCACTGTGAACTAGGTGGGTAACCAAAGAATGTGTTCACTGTGAACAAGGTGGGGAACCAATGCACGTGTTCATTGTGAACGAGGTTGGGAACCATGGAATGTGTTCACTGTGAACTAGGTGGGGAACCAATGCATGTGTTCACTGTGAACTAGGTTGGAAACCCAGGAATGTGTTCAGTGTGAACTAGGTGGGGAATCAATGCAATTGTTCACTGTGAACTAGGCGGGGAATCAATGAAAGTGTTTACTGCTAATGCAGTGGGGATGCAATGAATGTGTTCACTGTGAACTAGGTGGGGAACCAATGCATGTGTTCACTGTGAACTAGGTTGGAAACCCAGGAATGTGTTCAGTGTGAACTAGGTGGGGAATCAATGCAATTGTTCACTGTGAACTAGGTGGGGAACAAAGTAATGTGTCCACTGTGAACTAGGTGGGGAACCAATGCTTGTGTTCATTGTGAACGAGGTGGGGAACCATGGAATGTGTTCAATGTGCACTACGTGGCGACCAAAGGAATGTGTTCACTGTGAACTGGGTGGGAAACCAATGAATGTGTTCACTGTGAACGAGGCGGGGAACCAATGAATGTGTTCACTGTGAACGAGGTTGGGAACCATGGAATGTGTGCACTGTGAACTAGGTGGGGAACAAAGGCATGTGTTCACTGTGAACTAGGTGGGGAACCACTAGGTGGGACACCAAGGAATGTGTTCACCGTGAACTAGGTGGGTAACCAAAGAACGTGTTCACTGTGAACTAGGTGGGGAATCAATGTGTCCACTGTGAACTAGGTGGACACCAAGGAATGTGTTCACTGTGAAGTAGGTGGGTAACCAAAGAATGTGTTCACGGTGAACTAGGTGGGGAACAAAGGAAGGTGTTCACTGTGAACTAGGTGGGGAATCAATGTGTCCACTGTGAACTAGGTGGGACACCAAGGAACGTGTTCACTGTGAACTAGGTGGGGAACCAATGAATGTGTTCACTGTGAACGAGGTGGGGAACCAATGAATGTGTTCACTGTGAACTAGGTAGGGAACCAATGCATGTGTTCACTGTGAACGAGGTGGGGAACCAATGAAGGTGTTCACTTTGAACTAGGTAGAGAACCATGGAATGTGTTCACTGTGAACTAAGTTGGGAACCAATGCATGTGTTCACTGTGAACGAGGTGGGGAACCAAGAAATGTGTTCACTGTGAACTAGGTGGGGAACCAATGAATGTGTCCACTGAGAACTGGGTGGGGAACAAAAGAATGTGTTCACTGTGAATTAGGTGGGGAACAAAGTAATGTGTCAACTGCGAATTAGGTGGGGAACAAAGGAATGTGTTCACTGTGAACTGGGTGGGAAACCAATGAATGTGTTCACTGTGAACGAGGTTGGGAACCATGGAATGTGTTCACTGTGAACTAGGTGGGGAAACGCGCCTCATACCTCATTCTTATGCTGTCAGCGAGACCTTACACCCTCGTTAGATTCGATTTGTTTCATTTTTGTATAAATATAAACAACAAATGTCCCTTTGCCATCGTAGACTTTGTATCCGCTTCTTCGATGATAACCTTAGACAGGGAAAAGTGTTCGGTTTATCAGATTGTATCTTGAACTGATATTACGAAAATGAAGTAAGGATTGTAGAATTCATGGGTTATTACCTAAAACGCAAATTCACGAATAGTTAGACATGGTTTACAGATCTGTCAGAGACAAAGTCAACCAGATCAATAAAACTAAATCGCGATTCAAAAAACTAAGCGACATTAGAAAATAAACCATGTACTAAATGATAATACACAGTGAAGGGAAACATATCATCCCGTGCTTACCCTGTGGACTACAGGCGTTATGTAGGTAATATTATCATTGGTCAGTGATGACCAATACATGTAAACACGTTCCTATGTATCGGGCATTCAATGAAATAATTATACACGACAGTATGATGCTAGTCTTAGTTATGTGGTAAATGACGATTAATTAAAGTACACAAAAGTGATATTTTCTGTTGCTGAACGCGTCATAAATAAGGTTAACAGAATAAATACACTTATCTCACAAATGAATATAATTTGTATCCGACCAATAGGAAAGAATAAGAAAATAACCAACCGTCTCTTTCAGCTTTGTTCGGTCTCCGGATTCGAAAATCCGGGTCTGCGTCTTGCATTGCCATGTTTGTTTATCCAACTGAAAAAGTGAAAATGGTCAGTCAGCACTGCCACATCCCAGCAAAAAATATAAAATAAATGTATATCAGAATAGCTGGAGAGTTCTTATAGTCCCTACACCAAGTCTTATTTCAGATGTACTTAATAATGGGTTTATCTAACTAATGGATACAATGGCAGGTATAAGTTAATATTCAATTAGAACCACCACCTTCTATAGAAGCCAAGCGGTTACTTGGACCAATAGAACATAGTACTGAACGAGCAGTGCGACTGCCGGAACTGTTGGAGACTTATACCAGACACCATGCACAACAGACTCTGACGACAATACACGAACCACAGTGTGGTATTCGACATCCATTTAAAATGCGTGCGAGTGTCTCGGCAGATGTATTTTACGAATATGTCGACTTTGTAACTTGTTTTAAACAGATGTGTTTCCTTACGTCGTAACTCTAGTGGTACATCTGACGTCATATTTCCCTTTCGTACAGTTCCAGGTAATGTTAACCCTAAACCTTGTCACCTTGTTAAGTTTCTGCTTCCGTTTTTCCGTTTTATTTTTACTATTTTCGTTAACTTGTATGCTAATTTTATGAGTCTGCCCAACAATGACATATATAAAAGTAAATAATCAGTACACTATGCATACTTTGGTTATAGGGACCGCAGAACCAACTGATTTTACATAGACGATAGTGTTAACGTTTATCACCAATAAACTCACCCAGACAAAAGCAGACTTTTTTATGCATATTACATCTATATATATTGCTATATCAACCCACATATAACACTTTTGAAACTTCTACCACCTAAATATCCAACCAGCAGGCCCCGAGGCATTCACTGCCCAAAAGGGAAAACCCCATAATCTATTTTTGATTTGGTTCCGTGATCAATTATAAAGACAATGGCTTCCATTTACGTACTGTATAACACGAAATGTTCGTGTGTACATTCTTTCATGGTTCAAATTATTTCGTGGGTACATACTTTTACAAACAAACATATAGAGACCAAAGATGAAGCGGCCAGTGTGGCCACATTAAGAAAACATCAGTAACGTCTCAATTGACGATAAACATTGTTTGTTATTTTTCACATTAAGGTAAAAGGTTTGTGTCACCATTGCTCAATAGAATTTCTTCAAATTTTGTAGTTATATTGCTTTGAAGTAAAGAAAATGTTCTGCCACAAAAAAAAGTATATGTTGTCAGAATTTTAAGGATTTTAAATGGAAATTTATGTAAAAATGAGTGAATTTTGAAAAAAATGAAACACGTTTTTTGCGAAATAATGTCAATAAAAATGATACTGCCATAGATTAGTATTCCACTAATGTATATCAATTTAATAAATGCTGAAATTGTGTAAAATAAATCATCTATAAACGATTAAAAATTGCCTGGATTGCTTTGAAATACTTTATTATTGAGATAACACACTGTTCTGTCAATAATAAACATACAATATTCATCAGTTTAAGATTAAACATTAGAATATGCGGAAATTGTGATACTGTCTCCCTACATTGGATTTTCAACTAGGGATGTACTTCCTATTTCCGTTTATCGATACACTCATTCGACCTTAAATCGTACTGTCTCATTGGCCGGTTTAGTGTGATCATAACCGAAAGCGTTTTTTGGCCAATTAACTATAATATCAACTTTATTGTCACTATAGGATCTTATTTAACTGGTTAAAATGTAAGGTATGGGTGCAGTCCCGTGGTATATGAATTAAGGATGTCGACACAGAAAGCCAATATTAAATAGGTCGACGAAGAAGTTCTAAGAAAGTAAACAAACAAATGATAAAGATGGCAATACCATGTAAGTGTGTGAGAGTTACGCTGGTAAGGGTAGAACATGTATGTAATTTTACCATCTGTTTGATTGTCATAGTATGTAAGATATATACAGTCTTGTTTCTCATTAAATATCTAACCGACATTAGTTCCACATTAAGTAAAGGGGCCGCGGTGGGAAGTGGTAATTCTGCTATCACTAGCCTTCCACCACTGGGTTGCAGATTCGAGACCTACGTGGGGCAGTTGCTAGGTACTGGCCGTAGGTCGGTAGCTTTTCTCCGTGAACTCCGGCTTTCCTCTACCACCAAATCCTGGCATGTCTTAACTGACTATACTGTAGCTGTTAATAGGACGGAAAACACAAATAAACCAAACCAAAGACATTAAGTAATGTATAGCTTATCTACTAGTATACCAAATTAAATTATTAATTACTCATTTGTACTGCAGTAAATAATGTATCACTCATGTGTACTACATTATATAAGTCATCACTCATTTGTGCTGCATTGGATAATTCATCACTCATTTGTACTCAATTCAATAATAATATAATTTATATCATTCATTTCTACTACATTTAATAATTAATCCGTAATCGGCTCCTCATTAAATAAAAAATGTTGTATTGTTATTAAGTAAAATAATTAATACCTGATTAAATCTCATATCCCTATATTTCCTGGAAGTTCGCGCACAACGATCAGTCTCGTGCGCACAGCTCGATTGTGCCAATGTTTTAAAGCATACGCTGGTATCCGGCAGAGTGAACTAGCATTCCTTTTAAACCTTAATCAAAGAGGGTGAATATTTGACGTATTTAATTATTTAAAAAGAACAATATGAATATATAGGTTGTGACTTATCGATCTTCACGGTGGGTTGGTTGTGTATCGTACCCTAGGCATGATAGTGTAGACACAATGCTCATCGTATCAAATGACCCGAACACTATTGTAATACCCGAGTACAAGATCAAGTCGTCTGACATTTAGTGATACAGTCGTTAATGGAAAAAACATTATAACAACGACAAAACCAATATATCCGGGTTTATTGATGTTTGTGCATGGTGTGGCCCCCTTACGTGCATTGCTTTTGTGATTAATTGCATTGTAATACGAGGAACACATCTTCAATGAAGCATGTTGTTTATATCTGTATGTATGTGGTTATTGTTAGTCATTGGTTAGTCAGCTTCTTACCTGTTGAACATACAGTAACACACAAACTGTCATTCTGTTGACATTAGAAGGATTTGCAAAATTTATGGGGAAACAAATTCATAAGACTGTTGATTTGCATTGGTTGGGTATGTTTTAAAGAGGAATATCTATCTTTGAAATTCTTACAGATAACTGATTTCTTTAAAATTTTAAAGATCTGACGTCATACAATTGATAACGTGAAATGTTTAACGACAAAACATACAATGTACATGTAATATATCTACAGATATAAACATACGGTGACTGTCCGGGAACATTACGTTTGGCGGTTGTTTACGTCACAAACATCGATATCGTACTACGCTCCTATATTACTACCGTTCTAATTTCGCTCTATATCCTTTTTAGCACTATCCGTGAACTAAAATGTTCTCGTCTATTGGTAAATATGAGGACCGTAATAAAATGAAAGATAGTAAATGGCTTAGCTCGAAATTAAAAGACATTCAGGGATTGTTACAGTACCGAATTCAAATAAAAGGCTTTATTCCGATATCAACTTATTTTGTAGGACTTCCTACTAGGAAATGAATTTCTATTCCTCATAATTAAAACTAATAAAAAATGAAAAAAAAATGATACAGATACGCTTAGCGTTTCAACACATATTGATGTCAACATTCCAGTACCTACATATTTCACAGAACATAACCCCAAAATAACCTGTCATTTACTAATTTAAACTAAACGTTAATTATAGGTGTTGTTTAAACGTACCACTTGTGAATATAAATATATTATTGGGATATTAATATACCATTGATATAATGTTGATATACTATTGATATACTATTGATATACCATTGATATACCATTGATATACTTTTGATACAAATATTTGATCCTTTTTGCAACGCTCTTCTAGCCCCAAGAGTCAGTCAAGACTTATATTTATGTTCATGTCATCGTATTCTAATCACTTGATAATAATCTTATATAGTTTGGATTGGGTGGGTGGGTGACCAGGGGGCAATGGAATTAATAATTTTGAAAATAACCCACCTTAGTTGTTTTCCATTCCTGAAGTGTATTTGATTCTTACATTTCTGGGTCTGAAGAAGAAGATTATTTCAATATAGGTCAGTATGCTACGTCGTTTTACACCGAAAAGGTTATAAAATGTATTACTGTGATATCAGCTATTTGAGGTATTACGCTATTCAGGTATTTAGATAGTGTTTCCATGATAATACCAACAGAACCGATCGATTCAGAATTTCCCGTTTGATTTTTAGGATAGTGTCCCTACCGACATCCGTAGTTTATCCACACACGCGGTCGGTGGGAACACTCCTGTATGATTAATGGAATCTCGTTATATGATATGAGGCCTCGCTCTGAATTCTATAGCATAATTTCGTCAATCAGGTCAACCATAACACTTTATCAATGAACAAATCTGATACTAAAATAATTGTAAACACACGGTGTATCATACCTCAAAGCTATGTGTGCGTTACGATGGCGAGCTGAACAAATGTTCTATCATTGCAACAATAACAAAGTCATTATTAGATAGTTCCTTTATGTATTCATGATACGGTACACATTTTGTCTTTTCTTTTTTGCTCTGGGCATGATCGTGTTTTATCGATACAATGAATGCTGACTTCAAGGTATATTTTGTCAACAGCCTATAACTAGCCCTACACATTTAAATTGGTTGTTTTATTAAAGAAAACAAAAACAAAAACATTTCTATACGCAAGCGGTGACCATATATGACAGTTTAGTGAAATTATAAAATATTATTGAAACCCAGCGTTGTTACACGTGGACAAAATTAATTCATACACTGTGATATCTTTTGTGGTATCTTTTATGATATGATAAAATATTGAAATTATACTTATTTAATATTTGGGCACAGATTCATGATTAAGTTTTATTTTGCATACAATTTGAACGATTTGAATAAATGATACAAGAACCTGAACCAGCAACTGTGTGAAACAAGTTCTCGAGTTTTATATTCACGAAGATACGATCGACCAAATTTTACAAAATAAAATGTAAAAAACCTAAAGGACATTGTCTATACCTTTGCGGTCTTAAGTGAACAGCTCTCCTGGATCTGATGTATTGTAATACGTGTATGTGATATGATAATAATAACAACACAAACCACCTATATATATATTTGTAACTGAGCAATCTGATATTTTCATGGGTCCCAAATTTCGTCGTCTTCCCGAAAAAAAGCAATATTTCGTGGGTACATTAATTCGTTGATTACCGAGTAGCCACTCACTAGAGTATTGCGCTATCAAACTTGTAATCATTGCGATATTAGTGATTTTACAGTATTTGCATTTAACACAACAGGTATATGCCGTGTATTCATTTGCGTATGTTTCAGTTCCAAAGCGACGCCAAGAGCTGTGTTTTGACATTAGCAAATAACATTATATCCTATCCGTACAACATAGGGGAATAAAAACAATAAAAAACACAATGGAAAAATCAAGTTTATAGACAATGGACAGGAAACAACCAATCAGGGCGATCGGTCATTAGGACAGTCAGATTTTTCAAAAATAACATCTACATATCTCATATATTAATTTAGGTTTTATATAGATACAAATCACGACATAAATACACAGATCAGCGAATGTCGTCATATTCACGTCAGTTTCACTGAAAGGGATTAATTACCTCAACTCGATACCAAACCGAGTAAATTTCGATATTGTAGGAATAAGGACTCTTTTCATTCAGAACATTCTCATTATGAACATTAACTCTGAACCCAAATTGTTAGAGATACACGTATTAATTTGCACTTTATTAATACTTGTATTGTATTGTTGCCTAGACAACACGATTTTTAAATGTTCCGCTGACTATATATAGCTATCAGCTCCAGCGTTAGCCTATTGGCGACCCGACATACAGTTCACATACAACGACGCCAATCGCAACTTCTCGGCCAATTCCGGCTAGGCAATAGGTATGATTCCGTTCCTAGCCGGAATTGGCCGAGAAGTCGCGATTGACAACGACGCAGCACGAGTCGGTTACATCTGTCCATGGCGTTTATCACTTTTCGCAAAACATTGTGGCAAATTCTACAAAGAAAAGAAGGACATTGTGTCACAAAAATGTAATACTATGAAGATTATATATTGAGTAGTAAATGGTTGTCTTACCATACTATCATATAATACAATGGAATTTTGATTGTGCAAACACTGTATTTTCTGATAAACCATCGGTACTCATGACGATATATCAAGTACATTATAAAGTAATGTTACAGTGGCTTCCTTAGTGCCTGTTATGTACCTGAAATATTCCGAAAACGCCCTGTTCACATGTTATTTTCTCCAGATAGTTTTTGTTTATTTTGCTGTTCAAAATGGCGAAGTTCTTTCAAATGAAGATTTTTGACTTTGTTTTCCATTGACGCATCCGCAGCATGATAATGAGATGTGTTTTTTGTTGTTTATACTCCCAAAAATGAGAATCAATATTTAATGGAATTTGTTTATAACCAATATAAATAAAATTGTGAACTTCAAGATCTTATTAAGATTCAATACCTACACTATTTTGCTATCGCTAGTTCTATTGATTTGATTACTAATCTAACTACAATTGTTTTCTCGATTTCAGAAAATAATGTGTTTTTTTTATCATATATTTTCTTATATAACAGGATTTCAACAGTCCTATTTTGGCGATTAGACATGTTCTAGGAAGGACGTACATAGCAAAGTATAAATGTTACGCTTGAATTGGTTAACTCATCTTCACACAATAAGTTGTCCAATGATAATGTTAAAATGATGTCATTTGGAAAGTATACTCAATAAATACAGGAGATGTAAGACACAAAACTCACAGGAATAAACCGTGAGGGATTATATGTAACGGTACCTTCGTAACTGATCTTTCCGTCTTTGTTGACGTCCGCTTCTAGCATCAGCTCGTTGACCTCCTCGTCGACACAATCCCCTCCCGCAGCAGACAGAATAGCCTTGAGTTCTTTAGCGGTTATATAGCCATCGCCATTTTTATCAAACATCTTAAACGAATTCATAATATTCTGTTTTTCATATTCCACACGTGAAATAGCTCTCATCAGAATTTTCTCAAACTCGCGGTAGCCGACATAACCATCGTCTGCAAACAAAGAATAGATTTATAAAAAAACAACAACACATACATGAATGAATGTTCGGTCAATGTAAAATCTATGATCACATAATATTGGCATGTCTTAAAGTATTAAATAAACAAGAGGTCCAGAGGGCTGTATCGCTCACCTGTTTCTTTTGTTACATGAAACTGACATATAGGTAACTTCAGACCAAATTTGGTAACTAGAACACAAGACATTTTAACATCTTTTAAACGCTTCTTAAGATATTGTTGTTAGAAATTTGAGTGTGAAATTGTAATTCAACAGCTTTTAATCCACGTTGACCTTTGACTCCGGCTAGCACTTAAAGTTGACATTTGACCTCATTACTGTAGTTAAAAAAAGATTCACACTGCTGATCTACACAACATACCAAAGGATCATGACTGTAGTCCGAATGATTCTTGGGATATTCTTGTTTGATATTTTTTTTTTACATATTTGACCCCTGTGACCCTGAAAGTAGGTCAAGGTCATTTAAATGAAGAAACTTTACAGCACTCCATCCCAGATACCTAATGGCCAAATATCATGACCCTAGGTCCTCCAGTTCTTCAGAAGAAGTCGTTTTAAAGAAAAATGTTGACGGACGGACGACGGACGCCGCAGTACGGCATAAGCTCACATGGCACTTCGGGCCAGGTGAGCTAAAATTATGTTGATATTTGATGTTGATATCTCTTTTCAAGAAAGGTAAGATCGTCATCAACGCATGTTTTCCGTCCGAGCCTACCCTACTCCCGTGAATGGAACAAATGACACAATAGGACACAACGCATGATGTTTATACCTACGATTAAAATGACACATTATTTAGAATGTCTGTTTCATTCCCATTTGTAATTGAATATGTTTACAATGACACGTTATTTAGAATGTCTGCTTCATCCCCATTTATAATGGAATATGTTTAACTATGATGCTAGCATGACATTACTTGTTTGAAATATAGATGTTTTGTGGTTTATGGGTGTGACGGTAATTGTAGTCTGACGCCTTGTATTTTTCATATAGACCTATGTTTGTATGAGTGTCACAGATGTATAACCCTATATTTGTATGTTTGTATTAGTGTTATAGAGGAATAATCCTATGTTTATATGAGTGTTACAGTGGTATAACCCTATGTTTGTATAAGTGTTACATTGGTATAACCCTATGTTTGTATGAGTGATACAGAGGTATAACCCTATGTTTGTATGAGAGATACAGAGGTATAACCCTATGTTTGTATAAGTGTTACAGAGGTATAACCCTTCGTTTGTATGAGAGATACAGAGGTATAACCCTATGT